ACAAAGGTGCGGTCATGTGACATGATGTTGGCTGTCATTAACACATCATTAGTAGCTCCTAATGCAGATGTGACATAATGACCACTGGTCAGCTGAAGGTCTGCCAGGTATCAGCCATAGCATTTGTTAGCTATTGGTCAGTGGTCAGCTGCTGTGGCCACCTGCTGCCTGGGGGCGGACACATTGATGCTTTTGAGTGGTCAACGGTGTCCTTTTCTCGAGGGAATTTGTCTCCCAGATTACAATAACTATATCTAAAGTATGCTTCATTAATATTTCATAATTAGGTGCAGCTTGGCTAAGCAGGCCCAACATCAATCTGAAATAAGGAAATTAATTTTATTGTTGTGTACAGGGTAGGAGTCAGGTAGGAGTAGGGAAATGTCAGGGGTAGCACACGTACAATACCGTCGGGAATTCTAGTAAAGATCGACAGAGGAAATTAATTACTATCATTGAAAGAAAAATGATTCGCAGACTCAAGGGTGAAATTTGTTGACAAGTAATTGAAAAAGTGAAGAAAGAACTACAGATAATCATTGAATGGCAAATGGAATTCATTTTTGTAGCAGATCATACAGTAGCATGGATTTTATAGGTAAAAACAGGGATTAATAGCAGATATGATAAAACAGTATTGGTCACATTCTTAGTAAATAATCATTGATACTGAGATTTGTTTTTATTGAATTGATATTTTGAAAGTTTTTTTTTTTTTTTTTAGATATTTGTAAAAGGACATAAACCATGTTTTAATGTTAATGAATAAGAAATTGTTCCACAATTGGATTATAAAAGTTCAGTATTGAATTTTGTTCCTCAGTATTGAATTTTGTTCTCCCTTGTTTGTAAAGTATTGCTGTAATGACATTACCTTGGGATGGCGATGGTGACTACTAATTACTGTTGACGGTTGCTGTCTTGTCAAGTTGTGTCCGCTGCTACGTTATACAGTCTACCAGAGGTCAGACAACTCGTCAGATATAGATAATTGTTGTTTTGACATTATGATAGCAGTAGAATGGTTTGTGTAGTATAGGCCAGTGGCATTTAATGGGAATATGATTAATTGTATCGGGATGAAGAGAAGATGTGCTAACAGGCAATCTGTTTGTTCACTATTGTTTATTATATGTTAAATCTGTGTGATTGGGAAAAATGTCAAGGTTGGTAGTCATTGAGAATGACAGGAATCAATGGTTTGTTTGTACAGTAGATCATATTTCGTTGGCCGTTGTACTATTATACCATTGGTGATTGAGCAGAGATCAGATTTCATAAACTAATGTACTTTCATACGATTGGTCAGTGTACTGTAGATTTGATTTCATCTGTACTTTAAAACTGGGGTCAGTTTACAGTAAATCCAATTTCACATGCCATTGTACTTTTACACCATTGCTGATTGAGCAGAGATCTGCTTTCTCAGACTGTTTTACTTTTACACCATTGCTGATTGGTCAGAGATCTGGTTTCTCAGACTGTTGTACTTTTACACCATTGCTGATTGGTCAGAGATCTGGTTTCTCAGACTGTTTTACTTTTACACCATTGCTGATTGGTCAGAGATCTGGTTTCTCAGACTGTTGTACTTTTAGACCATTGCTGATTGGTCAGAGATCTGGTTTCTCAGACTGTTGTACTTTTACACCATTGCTGATTGGTCAGAGATCTGGTTTAACTGTTGTACTTTTACACCATTGCTGATTGGTCAGAGATCTGGTTTCTCAGACTGTTGTACTTTTAGACCATTGCTGATTGGTCAGAGATCTGGTTTAACTGTTGCTGATTGAGCAGAGATCTGGTTTCTCAGACTGTTGTACTTTTAGACCATTGCTGATTGGTCAGAGATCTGGTTTCTCAGACTGTTGTACTTTTACACCATTGCTGATTGGTCAGAGATCTGGTTTCTCAGACTATTGTACTTTTACACCATTGCTGATTGAGCAGAGATCTGGTTTCTCAGACTATTGTACTTTTACACCATTGCTGATTGGTCAGAGATCTGGTTTAACTGTTGCTGATTGAGCAGAGATCTGGTTTCTCAGACTATTGTACTTTTACACCATTGCTGATTGGTCAGAGATCTGGTTTAACTGTTGCTGATTGAGCAGAGATCTGGTTTCTCAGACTATTGTACTTTTACACCATTGCTGATTGGTCAGAGATCTGGTTTAACTGTTGCTGATTGAGCAGAGATCTGGTTTCTCAGACTATTGTACTTTTACACCATTGCTGATTGGTCAGAGATCTGGTTTCTCAGACTGTTGTACTTTTACACCATTGCTGATTGGTCAGAGATCTGGTTTCTCAGACTGTTGTACTTTTACACCATTGCTGATTGGTCAGAGATCTGGTTTCTCAGACTATTGTACTTTTACACCATTGCTGATTGGTCAGAGATCTGGTTTCTCAGACTGTTGTACTTTTACACCATTGCTGATTGGTCAGAGATCTGGTTTCTCAGACTGTTGTACTTTTACACCATTGCTGATTGGTCAGAGATCTGGTTTAACTGTTGTACTTTTACACCATTGCTGATTGGTCAGAGATCTGGTTTAACTGTTGTACTTTTACACCATTGTTGATTGGTCAGAGATCTGGTTTAACTGTTGTACTTTTACACGATTGGTCAGTGTACAATCAGCTTCTGTTAAGGATATGAAGTACATGGATTTACCTGCAAAAGTGGTACATGTAATTGGGTCACCATGACTTTAACACCTATCAATGTCAGTTTATATCAGTCTGTTTACGAATGGTTGATGAAATCTGAAGGGCACATGCATCTGCTACAGAGGTGATACATAGTGGTGTATCCTTCTTGTTATATTTGTAAGCATTACCTTGCATGTGCGTGAGGGGAAAGGCCTGATATTGGGGATGAAAATCAATTGTTACTTCCTCTCAGGTTAATAGGGGCTGATTGCACAGGAGTATGAATTTTACATAGCTTATCTGTGATCAGATACCCATGCAACGATTGGTGAAAACAAACTTTATAGGTCAACGAAGGTTATGCCAACCTGCCCATCACTACAGCTCATGACTTTGTATTTTTCAAACAGTTTGGTGCACATCATCACAGCTCATATCTCATTTTGAAACTGGACAAAAATTGTACTCGGTCTGGATTCCATTAAGCCTGTTTTCTTATTCTGCTAGCCCCTACCCCTTCTTCAGTGATAGAAATGTTGTGAAGGGGTTGATTGCTTGCTTTGTCCAGTCGCAGAGATAATTTCGTATTTCCTGTAAGCCTCCACCTGCCACTCCACCTCTAGTGATAGAAGTATTTGAAGTCTTGTACTGTAAAGTCACAGAGACAATCTGATGTTTTCTAGAGTACATACATGTCTATCTAACTACATTAGCTAAATGAGTTACATTTAGGCTCTTTGAGAAATGGTTTTACTGAGTTTGTCATTGAAGCGGAATCCATTTGATGTGGCCTCTACCTCTATATAAAGCTGTTTAATTCCAAGCAATGGAGGCTAGACATGCAAACCAAGACTGAGGCAGCTTCTATAAATTGGACCAAGTTGAAGCAGTTCCCATCAGAATTAATCTGTGACGTTTATCTTCGTTTTTCAAGGGCACTCATGCCTACCTGTAGCAGATCTTGACTTTGAAAGGTGTCTGCTCCTTTGTGCCTTTGTGGCCACTCTACACCAATGTTTGTTTTATTTTAGTATTAGTTCAATGAAGCCGATACATGTATAAATTTCATTAGCAGGAATGATTCTAAAATGCAAGCAAAATGAACATATGACTTCAGCATTGTATGGAACAAAGAGAAGGAAAGATAATGAGACATATGGTTTGTAGATAACTCGTTTTCTTTTTAGAAATGATCTTTACTCAATGCCAAATTTCAAGTGATCAAAAGCAGAGTTTAGTAGCTAGCTGAAATTCGTGATATTTTGTTTCAGGCACATTCTTAAGTAACTGCATTCAATCAAAAAGTCTTTGATCACTCTGGATTGGTTACACCCATAGTGGCTGTCTAAATTGTGGTATAAGGGGAGAGAATCCTACAAGTTATCAAAAGATTCTAAAACAGCAGTGGATGACTGGCATAAACAATAAAGTGATGGTTTTGATATATATCAGTCCTTATTTTATATGATTGATGCCGTTTTGCCGTGGTGTGTATGTGTAACCTACAGTTTTGTCTGGGTGCAAGTGTAGAAGGCAAATAGGCCATGTACAGGTTTTGCCATTAATAATTGAGCAGGCACTCCCACCTTGTGGATGGATTTATTTATTTATAAAACTCTTTAAAGACAGCTGGCTGTTGTTGAATTGATTTACATTGTAGTTGATAGGGGAAATGTTCTTTGATCTCCTTGTCCTTGTAGGCCATTCTATATTTTATTTTGGTATTCTATTAGATGTCCTTGGCATTGATAAATATTCCAGTTTTATCATGTAGAACTTAATAGTATTTATTTAAAATAGCCAAGTTATTTTTAAGCCACAGAAAGCACAAGTATTTCTCCTGTGTAATGTAAGTGTTAACTGCAATATGTCTTTGAACCTGACATATTCAGTGATGCCAGGTCAGAGGTCAACGTTATAGTCATGTTCCCTTTTCTCCTTTATACTTTTAAATCTGGAAATATCATTTTTTAATGGTGATCACTGATGATACACAAGTCTGTTAGCAGTGGATATTTTCAGTGTTTTAAGAAGAAAAGCAATTGTCACATTAAAAGTACATGCGAAATTCATTTTAAGATGTTCCGATACACTGTAAAATTTAAAATTGAAGAAAGGTATTCCAAGAAATTCTGTCTTGATAATCCATGCCTCACAAGGGTTTAGACATTTCATGTTTTTAATGAAAAATTAAGGAATGTGGATATTCCTGAAAAGTTGGTCATGATAACCTTTGTCTGTGCCTTGACAAGCTAAATTTAAGGAATATAGATATCCTTGATGTACTTTTGATGATAATGTGTGCTTGGACATTCCTATAGTAGTTTGTGTTGTGTGTGCAGGTAACATGAAGCGTCCCCACGAGGATGACTACCAGGAAGACTACGACAACAAGAGAAGACGTGGGGGAGATGGACAGAAGATCGAACTCCGCTTCCTACTGGCCAGCAAAGTAAGAAGTTTTATGTTTTTTAAGATAAGTAATTTTACAATCAAGTTTACTTTCTGTCACTATTGTTTTCATATTTTCTAAGACTTAATAAAATAAAATATTTTGGAGTTTCTATTTTCTATGTATTGTTGTCTACTCGAAGTTTCAATGCAAGCCAATTAAAACATACGTACAAGAGGAAAGAAATATGATGATACCAACCATTCTGTCATTGTTGACAGGATCCGGAGAGCTGTGGTTTGTAGGTCCATAACATCTGTTAACAATACAATATGGCTGTCTGATTTATAGATCCTACAGTGACAATTGATGTGTCATAGTATCACCATAGCAACCATTCACTAAATCGTGGCATGATATTGAAAATCTATGCCGAGTTAGTCATACCCATACAATGCTGTGTCGTACTTCCGGCTAACCTATCATTAATAGGAGTACCTGTTGTATATCGAACGGATACATTATATTAGAGAGCAAACACAATATCAGCACAATCAAATGATCAATTATAATTGTGTCTTATTTATAGTTATCTCTTACACGTTGATGATCAGACACATTGTTAAAACCTGTTCACAACTAAAGTACTGAAATAAAGATGTCTTTAAAATGTGAATGTGGCCATAAGATACATAAGTATATATGAATAATGTAGGGAAAATTTATCATTGAACTCAGCTTTTATTGTCTGTTTTGCTTGATTGTCTGTTTAAATTGTTCTGTCTTGTTGTTGGTAAGTTTTCTGTAGGACATTTGTTGAAACTATGAATTAGTTTACTGAAATAGGTTAAGTTAAAATTTTGTTAATTAATAGGTTGCCTAATATCACTATCACTGTTAACCCAAAGTTTTACATAGCAGGAATTAGGAACAGTAGTGATGTTGTTTGATTGAAATGACAGTCTTGTTTGTGAGACATAATGTTGCTATTTCCTCGACAGAATGCTGGAGCTATCATTGGAAAGGGAGGAAGTAACATCAAGCGGCTGAGACAAGATGTAAGTATTGGAGACAAACCTCCCCCTATTGCCCCTAATCCATGCCATTCCTTTTCAGGTATTAGGGGCTGATATCAATCTCGACACATAATGTTTTCTGGTCCTTGGTCTGGGCCCCATATCATATTCTGGTCTGATGTCCATTGACTCGTCCAAGAAAGGGTCCCTATTTTTGTTGGGACGGGTCATGACCCCACAACTGACCCCACGCTCCTCCTGATGACTGGTGGGCCCGCCCTGCTGTTTTGCCCACCACGGTGGGGACCTGTGCGTTTGAAGATGCTAATCTCTCTGGGTGTTTTACTGTCATATTGGTGTAAATTATTATTTTATGCCATATTGTTTGTGTTAGGTAGAGATAAAAGATATTTAAGCCCTATGGCCTTTATTTCCTAATCATGTAGTTCAGGTTCTGTCTATAATAATGATATTCCACTGTTTTATTTTGTCATGTAAATCCATATTGAGTCAATGTTTGACTTGGGGATAAGCCCACCTTGGGCATTGTTTATTGATTGTATCTATGAATGGCCCTTCTGGCCAGTATTGATCCAAGCTAGTGGAAAATTAATGATTTTGCCCATGCCTTTTAAACGAAAATGTGTGATGTTGAATCCATTATGACTTCATGTCTTGTTTTAAACATTATTTCTTTGTCTTCTACAGAATTGTTTGTTTATCCCAGTTCTAGTGATGATTTCATATGTTAAAGATTTGCAAATTTTCACCGCCAATCTTGTGTTCTTGCAAGTAGTATTAGCCGGATTCCGAGCCTGGTGTCATTCATGCCAAGTAAAATATTCCTGTGATTCCCTATTATTATACTCTGTTTTGTATATAATTTTTTGTCCATATTGTAAAGCCATGCTGCGATTTCTCCTTTTTCCATCCATACATATCTGGCCTGTCCCACAAATCTCGCCCTGCCCGCTACTACACGTACAATAACATCGTCCAATGTACGTATGTCCGTCCAACATCCACACTTGACGTCAATCCAACCGACCCCCTGCCCTGTGAACGAAACATGGAAATGTTCACCTCCGTCCAACTGTCCTGGCCCACGGAACGCTGATTGTACACTGGTCTGATCCCGTGTCCATCGTCCAACGCCCCGACAGTACAAAGCCAGTGTCACAGTTCCCGATAGTACCTGCCCCGAACGGTATGACACAACAACTCTTATTTAATCAGTTTCAATTTTCGTGTCTTGAGCAGTCAAAAGAAGAAAGTAGTATATAGATAAGAAAAATATAACAAATTACCATTTAGAAAGGACTTTTCATAATCCATATTAGGATCTCATGTAATTCTACCTGTTCAAATCTGGATCAAATCTGGGAGCATGCTTTGGTTTGAATTGTTATTGGGAATACATACCTATCTGGTTTCTTTTATAAAGAAATTCTTATTGATAGAATTGGAATCAATATCATCACTGTAGAAATTTTAGTTTAAAGATGAAATATTCCCATTAATATTTTTTGGGTTTACTTCCTGATATGTATTGCTCTGTGATGCACAAGCTAAGGGATGTGTGACCAGTCGGTAGCCAGGTTCTGGCCCAGCAAACCCCATCAGTCCAACCTCAAGCTTTATCTTCTCCATAAATCATTGGAAGAAATCTCTCAAATTGTTAAGAAAACAATTGATTTGGATGAAATTGGAAATATGTATTAAATGTTTGAGTTTGGACCTTTTTGCCTTCAGGCATTTTTGAAATGGGGTGGAAAAAAGGATCTTGAAATTATGATCCTTTTTATTTTGAAAGAAAAAGAAACCGATAAAAATTCTGATGCACAGCTACTCTCACACATTCTTCTGTTTATTGGTAACTTGTTGATGGGGGTAGTTTGTTTGTGCACTGGTTTGTGATGTACCTAGCGAATCATAACTTGTAGTATTGAGTAAAATTCTCAAGATTTTGGCTCATATGTTGATTTTACATTCACTTTTAACACAATGGATTAATTTCTTACTACCATGGAGTACTGAAACTGATCACTCTGAGGTAGTTTTTGTATCACCTCATGTAGAAGCTTACTAACATTTTGGAAATAACATTCTCATGATCAATTTACAAAAAAAAAAAAAAATAATAATAATGGCTTTAAGTATATGCAACAAGTTATTTATATGACCTTTGACCTGTCAGGGGTTGACTTTTTAAAGTTTAATATCATGCTCACACAAATTTCTAGGTCTTCACTGTGTTTGCTTGTGCCACTTATAATTCTTGCTTGGATCTAGAGTTTTATGCTAATATTTAATATTTGGGTTTTTTTTTTTTTTTTTTCAAATTTTTTCTTGAATTTTTTCTTTTTTCTCAGAAGTTCAGTTGAAACTTATGATATTTATGTATTTTAATGTTTTGTTAATGATAAAAAGTATTGTCAGCCTGTATTTTAATTTTGATAATGTCTGAAGTGGAGGATTAAAAGGAGTTTAATCTATCAAATAATTTTAGTGCATGTCAAAGCAATTTTCAAAATATCCAAACAAGAAAGACTGATTTATAAACAAGACTTTTTGTTCCCCTTTTTTTTCTCCCTTAGCACTATGACTTGATTTAGCACATCATTGGAAAGTTTTTCTTGAGGTATTTTTGATTTCTGCTTTGTTCAGTGTGATTTTACTGGTACTCAATGGACACATTCTTGACATCAATATTGTTATATCTATTGCAGTGTGCTGACGATCGGGGCTGACATCGGCACCGCCCTTGATTGTGCCCTCGATATCATCCCGAAGCTAGAAGATGTAAGTGATGAGGTACCAGTACTCGTTTTAATTTTTTTGTGTGTTTACCTTTCACATCTTCATTTCATGTCCAAATTTGACTGTTCAAATTACATGACCTTTTTCGTAGAAACTTTAAATAGATATCAAAATTTGTTCATGTCTTTTAAAAATATATATATATATATTGAAATGTTGTACTTGTTCATAAGGCAAACAATTGAACGGTCAATCTGGTCTAGAAGTGCTCTTATTTACTTGTTTGCTGTAAATTAATCCGCAGGAAATCATGTGGGACTAGTTACGGTTACAAGTGGTAGTTAATTACTATTGGATTATATTATGGGGAACTAGTAATGGTTACCATGGGAATACATTAGAGGGACTAGTGATGGTTACCATGGGAATACATTAGAGGGGGACTAGTGATGGTTACCATGGGAATATATTAGAGGGACTAGTGATGGTTACCATGGGAATACATTAGAGGGACTAGTGATGGTTACTATGGGAATACATTATGAGGGACTAGTGATGGTTACCATGGGAATACATTATGAGGGACTAGTGATGGTTACTATGGAAATATATGATGAGGGACTAGTGATGGTTACTATGGGATTATATTATGAGGGACTAGTGATGGTTACTATGGGATTATATTATGGGGAACTAGTGATTGCATCCAGGGAAATACATAATGAGGAACTAGTTATGTTGTAGTTGTGGTAACCATGGGAATATATTATGAGAGACTTGTTACTGTTTAATTATGGTTGCCAGAGGAATTTATTATGAGAGACTAGTGAAAGTTACCTCCACATTACAACACAGTATCATGAGGAACATATTATTTCTGTAGTTTAGTTCAGATATCATATTCTACCTGCTTTGGCTTGATTTCATTCTTGTCTAATAGTTCACACTACTACTAGCCCTATCTTCTGATAATGAAAACTGTTGAACTTCTACTAGCCCGATCTTCTATGTATACAGAAATACTGAAAACTATTAAAGACAAAAAACATAAAGAAGGTTTCAAATACAAAACATTTGTAAATTGATCTTACTTTTTTTTTGTGCAAATGTTTGCTGCATATTTTCTTTTATATAAAATAAGTGAAAATTATTAATTAAATTTAGTGAAAATTACTACTGTAAGTTAGTGAAATTTTCTTCTACTATTGATTAGAGAAAATTACTATTAAGTTCTGGAATCTTAAGACTTGTTTGTTGAATGTAACTAACTGCTTGGAAATATGAATACATATTGGTGATTGTTGTTGCAGTATAAAAACTACAAGGATGAGAACTTTGACTGCGAGATGAGGCTGTTGGTGCATCAAAGCCAGGCTGGCTGTATCATTGGACGTGCTGGATTCAAGATCAAGGAACTCAGAGAGGTCTGCATCATATGAATCTGAGTAATGCAGGATGTTTCCATAAAACACGATGACATTACAGGATATTGAGACAGAATTCTGTAAAACACCAATACATTACAGGACATGGAGACAGAGTTTCTGTAAAACACCAATACATTACAGGACATGGAGACAGAGCTTCTGTAAAACACCAATACATTACAGGCGATTGAGACTGATTTTACTGTAAAACTCCAATACATACAGGATATTGAGACAGAATTCTGTAAAACACCAAAACATTACAGGATATTGAGACAGAATTCTGTATAACACCAATACATTACAGGACATTGAGACAGAATTCTGTGAAGTGCCAATACATTACAGGACTTTGAGACAGAATTTCTGTAAAATACTAATACATTACAGGACATTGAGACAGAGTTTCTGTAAAACACCAATACATTACAGGAAGACAGTAAAGCTAAACAACCTATATATGGGGTGGGCTCATTACCCAACATTTGACCTTTTGCAGCATTAATGCACATAAAACAGACTTCCTCTACCATAATGACCAAAGGTGATTACGATAAATACTCTCTACTAAATAACATGTCTTGATTCTGGGACATCCTTATATAGATGTAACAGTTTTCAGGAAGTGTCACTGGTTCAGTGTATAATGGTAAAATGCTGTTGATGTGGTACTGCCTCAAGACATTAATGACAATGATTTTTGTTACGTGGGACAATGGGAGGTATTACCCTAGTGATTGGATTGGTTGTTAAAGATATTAAATACTGATACATCATTCCCTATTGATCCATGTGATTCTCATTAACCTGATACACCATAGGCAAAATGGAGACATTCTACATCATTCAGAAAGTCCACTGGTTGAGGCACTGATATTATGTTATGTTAAAATTATGGAAAATGGGTTATCTTTTATTATTATTTTTTTTTTTTTTTTCTCTCTCTCTTGAAATTTTAGCCCTTTAATTATCTTTAAAACTCCAACAATTAAGGATGAATTTTCTTGAATATTTTCATTTAAGTTACTAATGATGTATGAGAGTGTTGCAGTAGTACTCTAGTGGAATCTAGATTGGAATAGAAATAATTTTGAAGTGAAATGTAAAATTTGATGTGAGATTGTAGAAAAAATTGTTTGGAAGTTGTGATGTGATTGTAATTGTCTTCTGTATCAACACATTAATTATTTGTTGTAAAGTACTTGGTTTCTCCGTCAGACTTTCCAGAGATACATGACATTTTTGGTTTGGCTCCTACTCGTGGGTTTTTTCGTGTAATATGTAATCGTTAGGGTTTTGAGTTTGATGCTTTGTTTGTGAACAGAAAACTGGAGCTCAGATCAAAGTGTACTCCCAGTGTTGCCCACAGTCAACAGAACGTGTTGTGGCCATAGGAGGCAAACCCAAAGTAGTTATTGATTGTGTCGACACGATTCATGAGCTCCTTAAGACTGTAAGTCAACCCTTCTCCTGTCTTCTAGTCACTTGTAAATGTCATCCTCCAGCTTTCCTTTCATATAAATTCTATCTTTAAATTCAAACCTATCTTCATGAAAGTGAAGTCTGATGTAGATCATTGAACTGAATATCATTAAAACAGTATCTCTTTAAACTGAATGTCGTAAAAGCAGTCTCACAATGAAATGGAATCTGATTAAAACAATAACTCATTAAATGAAATTCATGAAATATCACATCTTACAGAGTAATTTACTAAACAAAACTCGAGGACTGTAGGTGGATATCTGAAAAGATGTTCTTCTATAACTGACTTCACTTGTTTGCCAGGCTCCACCTAAGGGACCCAACCAGCCTTACGATCCCATGTACTGGGATGAATTCATGGTTGCCGAGTATGGAGGCTACACATCTGCTGAGGGTGGTCGAGGCAAAGGAGGACCCAGAGGGGCACCACAGGCATCCAGAGGAATGGGAATGGGCATGGGCATGAGAGGTGGCAGGTAAGAGGACTATTGTCAATTGTGTTACTGTTTTTAGAGTCTTAGTTATGACACGTGTTGACTACAAAAAAATACTCTTTAAATTTTGTCCATTTTAGTTTACTTTAGTTTGGGTTACTGTTTTTTACATAAACATGCTTAAGTGAAAAACTAATCCATAGAAATAGTTGAAACTATAAGTGTTGCTTTACATTAAGATGTAGAAATTTTTTTTTTCATTCAGACCTGGTATGGGTATGGGAATGGGAGATATGGGAATGGGAGGCCGTGGTGGTCGTGGAGGTGGCATGATGAGTGGCCGCGGAGGTAGAGGAGGAATGGGTGGCATGCGTGGCAACATGGGAGGAATGAGAGGCAGCGGTATGGGAGGACCTAACAGAGGAGGTGGCCGTGGAGGATTTGGGTAAGTGATTGTGATGTTTAGCAGTTTGTAAGAAATTTACTTTTATATTAACTTTTGTTTTAATTATATTTAAAAAACCAAATTTTGCTTCAAACCTTTTTTATGCAGTGTCTACTTAAACATATTATTGAAAATTAAATAATTTTATATTGATAATCAAATGAACAACTCGCTGTTACAGAGGTGGAATGGGAAGTGGAGGTGTTGGAATGGGAGGCGGCAACATGGGCGGCAATATGGGCGGCAACCAGGGCAATATGGGAGGTGGCATGGGAGGTAACAAGCAGGGAACGGACTACTCATCCAATCAGAGTGAGGATACACATGACCGGACAGAAACCGGAAGGAGCTTCAATAGATTTAAGTTCAGAAAAGGCTAAGCTTCAATATATTAAAGCTCCACTCCACAAAGTTGATTTTAAATATGCAGATGCATTTTCAAGTTTTGATTATATGAATTTTTGGGTTTATTCAAGCTTTGTTTGGAAGAGATTTTAAAAGAAATCAAAATAAAAAGAGACAAAAGGAAAATAAAAAGGTTATTGAAAACACAAATTTACATATCTTCAAATTCTTGCATCCTGCATTGTGTAACTTTTAAGTGCCAGCTGTCTGTCATCAACTTCCTTTGATTTCATGCAAACATGACACATTCCTGACAATGAAATATGATTTGATGATAGAATTGAAATAAATGAAATCATGGTGGTGTTTGTACATGATGGTTAAATAACCTCACAAGAGTTTATCTGACAATAGATTGTGACCATTATGTTATTGTTCTTCCTCTGTCCTTTGGATCCTTTTCATTTCTTAAGACTGATTAGGTGGGTCTAGACACTAGACAAAGCATAGAATGCTGTAATGGTATCTTAGAATAAGTAAGCATATTCTTTTTCAATCTGAGGGTAAGAAATTTAAGGGATTAGCTTATTCTACCAATGTAATCACAAATTGTAGATCTTATTTAAGTTACCCATTTATGCATGTAGAAAGTTTCTCAAGAAAAAATTCAATATTGGAATTATTTTTTATTTTTCATATCAAAACACCATAAATGTGGATCATGAAAAAAATTGCAATTAAAAGAATAAAACACACAAATGATGAATATTTAAATGAAATACATATCAGAAAAATCTGAAATTTCACATAGATTTTCTTATTTTCATTATGTGTTGTATCTAAGTTGTATTCCTGGTACTTGTAAACCCTGACTGTTGCATTAAATTTTCAACTTTTCTACCAAGGATTTGGAGGCGACGGTGGATACAGTGGAGACAACTATGGAGGTGATAACAGTTACGATGAAGGTTACGACAACTCAGGTGGTGGCTACGGAGGTGGCAACTCCAGCAGTGGCCAGGGAGGTGGTAACATGGGACAGAACTTCACTCAGGATAACACTGTTAGTATTAAGGCAATACAAATAAGGAAAAACAAACAATGTACAGGAGGTTTACTGCCTGTTAGTAGTCAAGGTGATACTCCAGAACATTTTACCACAGTATCTGAAATCAACATACACTAACATAGAGATAAGAATTTTCAGCTTTTCTCTGGAATTTGAATACAATATTGAAGCATTATTTTTCAGCATAAATAATATTGTTGTTTTAGCCTTTTTACCAAAAGCCAAATTTGATCACTGATTGCAACATATTAAGATAACATACCATTAACTCTAGAAAAAAGTTTAGATTCGATTCATGTACCAAATCTTTTTAATCCCACTACAGTCATCTTCATGAAAATGTTAAATTCAGTGAATGATAAATGATATTGCGCTAACTTACTCTACTGCTAATGAAATGCATTACAATTTTACATGGCAAAGGAGAACAATTAGACGATGTTCATTGATTTTTAAAATAGAGATATGTATCTTCTAGGAAGAATGTTTTAGTTTATATTGAGTATGAAGCTGTTTTGTATGTATTACAGGGAGGTATGGGCCAGATGTTTGGTGATAACAACTGCCAGTCATCCACACAAGTTACCATCCCAAAAGATGTAAGTAAGAAAAAAAACATACTTTCACTAGTCTATTGCTACTACTGGATTGTCATGAACAAAAGTTTAGCAGCATTTCATTTTTTTTAAGTCATTTTTTTTTCACATTACAAAAAGTAAAAATCAAAGTTCTATTTGCTTGTGAATTGCAGTATGGTTCTATTTAACATTGATTGTATGATTATATTAAAGTTATAATGATTAATACAGTAGTTAAATGGTCACTTTATTATGCTGATCATATGTCTTTTAGCTCACCTTGCCTGAAGAACAAGTGTTATACGCATACTACACTGATCGTCTGTTGTTTGTCCATCAACTTTTCCTACAAATCGCTACTTGTCATGAATGTCTTAATGAATTTTGCCCAAATTTGGTCTGAAGCATTCTTGGAGGGGAGGGAACCAAATTTTGTGTAAATGCTAGATCTGGGGCCTGAGGGGCGAGGCCCAAAATGGGAAATTTTGCAAGTTCTTTAAAATCCTCATGTAAGAATGATTGAATTTGCACAAGTTTGGTCTGAAGCATTCTTTGGTGAAGGGGAATCAAATTTGTATAAATGGTGGGTCCTGGGTCATGAGGGGTGGAGCCAAAAAGGGGAAGTATTGCAAGTTTCTTAAAATCCTACTGCTCCTGTATGGATGATTGTTTTTTACCCAAATTTGTTCTGAAGCAGGCTTTTGAAAAGGGGAGTCAATCATTCTTCTTATTTAGGAATGTCTGGTGTCTGTCGCAGTTTGGTCTGAGACATACTTGGATCAATTTTGTATGCACTGTGGGTTTTGGCCCCCACAGCGGCAGGGTTTGAAAGATACAGGACCAATTGGCCTTTTGCCTCTTCTTCCTTTCAGACAAAGTACTGAATATTTTATCTCTGTATCACTGTTAGTAATGAGCAGATTTTCGACAGTTAGTATTCCTTACTATTCTTGATTGGGAGACAAAGTTAAGGAAATCATTGTTGCAAAAGTAAGGCGAAGAGCAACATGTTTATTCAGTAGTGTACACATTTGTTCCTATTTGTGGAAAAATTGGGTCTGCCCTGAAGTGATTCAGTGCCAAAAAAGAAGAATGGTTTTGTTTCAAAGCACAGAATACTTTCACTTCTTTAATGCTTTGACAAAATAACAACCTGGTTTAGCTATCACTTTTGAAATTAAATTTTGCTTTATAGTTGGCAGGAGCCATCATTGGGAAGGGAGGATCACGTATCCAAGAGATTCGACGACAGTCTAACGCTCAGGTGGTGATCGACGAGGCACTGCCGGGCTCCAGCGACCGTATTATTACCATCACAGGCAGCGACGATCAGATACAGAATGCACAGTACCTCTTACAGATGAGGTGGGTATCTTGAATTCATGTTGAAATTTGTCTCGGTAGAAAACATGTTGTTACTAAGTAGTAGATATAGGTCACTTCTAACAGTTTGTTACAAATTCTCTATTAGAACATAATGTGTGGTTTCATAAGAATTTAGGTATAAGTGGAGGACCAATTTTCAAGCATTCTCAGATTAATGTGGTTTGGATATTGCTATTGTACTTTTCATTTTACAATATTTTGTGCCTTTGGCATTTGAAGTGTGACATCACCATTGTTGGTTGATAACATATTTAAAGGTAGTGAATGGGTTGTCACTATGGTCTGAATTTTGAAACTTGTTTGAAAGAAGGAATCTGAAAGAATGTTTTCATTTTGGATGGATTTGCTTTTGTAGCTTTAAGACTAAATTGTAGTGTTGGAGTTAATAGTGGATAGAAAATAGCTAAAGCTTCAAAATTCATGGTTGTAGTACAAAATGGTCAAAATATGTCGATTATTGATGGCTGTGGTGGGAAATGGTCAAATATGTCTGATTTTGTTGATTGTAGTGGGGAAATGGTCAAATATGTCTGATATTGGTGATTGTAGTGGGAAATGGTCAGAATAAGTGAAGCATTGGTGGCTGTCATAGAAAATAGTCAAAACATGTGATTAAATGGTGACTGGTGGGAAGTGGCCAAAACATGTCAGTTACTGGTGACCATTGTGGCAAATAATCAGAACACATGTATCATGGGTTACTGTGGTAGGAAATGGTCAGAATATGTCAGTAATTGGTAACTGTTGTAGAAAGTGGCCAAAGTTGTCAGTTATTAGTAGCTGTTGTGGGAAATTGTCAAAACATGTGAATCATTGACAGCTGTGATGAAAAGCGATCAAAATATGTCAGTTATTGGTTGCTGTAATGGGGAATGGTCAAAATATGTTAATCATTGGTAGCTGTGGTGGGAAGTGTCCAAAAAATGTAAATTATTTATGACTGATGGAAATGCTTAAAACATCAATTATTGATAAACATGGTATTGAATTGACTGTTTAGATGTCAATCATTTTTATTTTTACACAAAAATAAAAAACAAAATCTGATAATGATGTTGTTTGTCAGCCATGTTTAGTTCAGCCAAGTTGAATTAAGCTTAGGTATCTTACAGCTTGTGCTTACACTTTTACTTGAGTGAAGCTGTTACAAAAAAGCTTCACAATTATATTGAAAATACTGATAACAATAAGATGTTCTTTAAAATACTAAGGTGTTTAAAGTTGTGACGTTTTTTTACCCGTGACTATTTTTTTTGCATATGTGGAATTGAATATAAATATCTCTCGTTATATAAATATATATATATATACTTTGAAACCATTTTATTTATCTGTTATATTTTTTTCTTAAACAAAGAGGAATAAAGCAACGTTTTCCATGTAATTTTACTTTTAGAGTGAAGGGCTTGGAGTCATCATTTCATTGAGAGTTTAAGACAGTATGTATTATCAGTGTTCTTTGTAATTAGGCCCCAGCCCCGACCCCAGCCCAATTTGGCCCAACCTCAGCAAACCAGATCTGCCCATATCGCTCTAAATAGAATTAATTCGTGTGATGAAACATGGCGATTAGACATGTCCTCTTTTGTTTATTGAGGTCAGGATAATCTTGATGGTTAAATGATGTAGTTTTACACTGGAAATATACCGTAATAACACTTCTGACAGACACTAAGAACAGGATCATCATATATATATATAGATACTCGCAGAATTCTCCTAATCCTATGTCTGGCTATTCATGGTCTTTTTCTTAATGATATATCTAGCTACTTATCTAGCTTCTGTCATATATCTGGCTACTACAGATATATATAATCTGTTCACAGATTTCTTTTTATCATGTATCTAGTTACTACAGATTTCTTTACATATATATGGCTACTAATTGATCTTCATCATTTATCAGGGTACAGCTTTCTCTTTATTACTATATTCATTAGTTATCTTATTAATATATTATTTATCCTACACTATTATTACATATTGCTAATATATTTGTAATTATACACTAACTCTTCTTTGTTTCATATCTTTCTTATTTTAAACTATTCTGTCCTTGACAAGTATCAGTCTTCAAGAGTTGTCTCTAATAGTAAATTAGAAATCAAGAAACCCGTGAAGCGCGAAAAGAACCCTTTTTTCTTCCAAATGCTTTTTTGTACCTGGTTAAAGGTACATGATAGCTTGATGATAGTTCATTGTTAGTAACTAATGACTCTCATCCTTGCTTGATAGCCTTGTCATCCACAAATTAAGGTGCTGTGCATTCAATAAATCTGGCTTACTGCTGCATTATTTATCTTAGGGACTAGATATAATACTGGACATAGTTTCCCAAGTGATATGTTAACTAGTTGACGTAAATTTTCCAATCTCATTTGAAACAGATAGAAATTTCATCCAGCTGATCTATTCTAACACTTCCATTTCTTGATATGATAAAACAATCATTTGCAAGTCTTTGATGTAGGCAGTTTTACGTGATTTGCATTGTGTTATATTCACCGAGAGTAGTGGAATGTTTTGATTTTTAAAATTGTTTGGAATCATAAAAGAATCACTTCTAACACCAAAGTTCTCCTTCCTGAGCCTTGACACACTAGAGACCTTAACAAACCCCATGCTGGTAAAAAGCCTGCACAGTTTTATTGTGGTTTCATTGCATTACAAATATATCTGGTTTGATTGCCTTACATTAAGCCTTCTCCCTCTGACTTTTATATAGCTAGAGCTTCTGTATTTCTAATAGTAGCTGTATAGAACACTAATGTTACATATGTATGGGATGAGATAATCCCAGCTGTGTAACGTTTATATGATATAAGAGTCTCTACCTAACATTGTAAACTGACAGCATTATATCTCCCATATCTTCCTATAACCCTGTAATAACAAGTAGTGCTAACACATGGTGTATCGGCAACAAGTGCATGCCTGCCTGCCTCCTGCCAGCCGACTAAGTGCATGCCTCCCTTTGGCTCCCTGCCTGGTGACTGACGATGGTGACGGATTTGCTTCCTATTAACCTGACACACCTGGCCTGGAAGACTAGTGATTTTGTTGTTTTGTGTATTTTTATTCAACAATGAATCACTATCTTCCCTGACCATGTGTGTATCTAGCAGCTTAGCCCACTAACAGCTTTCTAGTCTGCACCAGTCGGCCTACCAGCTGTACCCATGAACAGGAGGCAAGGCTTTGCACTTTGTATACCAACCTTGTACGTCCTACACCAGACTTCATCATATTCTCAATAATATGTTCACAAAGACAAGCCTTATGCTTTTCTCTTTTAAGTTCGTATTGGACAGGAACACCAATATTTTCTTACCTGTCCAGTATGGGATTTGCTACTTTTGTAACTTGTTTATCTAACAGCGCTGTTTTCTTGTACACTTCACTTTTTACATTGTATTCATTTTTTCTCCAAACTGGAAATAGGGTTATTTTGAAATATTTTTACGGTTGTGTTGTGTCTAATTCTTACATAAATAACAAAAAATCTCTTCATTAATCCAAAAGATCTTTTGTTTTGTGGCTTTTGTTTGAAACTTATTCTATTTTTGGGAATGTTTTAAATGTGCCATTAGTTCACAAGTTGTTCTGCTGTTGCAGGATATTTAAACTTTTGAGATCAGTGGCAGTTAAAAAGTAATTCTAGTATTGGCTTTGACATTTACAAAAAGATTCAAATTTCTCCCAGTAATAAAGAACTTTAACAGTCGTATAAGTTTTCAGCTCTGAATAGTAGTAATCGGTCCTTAATAGTGTTCAGAAACAGGCAACAACGGTCAAACCACGGGTATCCTTTGTCTTGTCCATGTCGCATATTCTTCCTTTATCAAGTTATTATATTGATGTGGTTTTATTTTTTTTTATACATGAATGTATTTAAATGAAAATATGTTCAATTTCTGAGAATCTTTGAAAACCAAGGAATATTGCAGTATATGTAAAAATGTGCAAAAATCTGAACCACAGAAGCTCAACATTGAAATTCTGGTTTACTCCCATAATTGTCTTGATGTCCCTAGTTGTAGTCCTGATTCTTTAAGGAATGACTCCCTGATCAGAACAATTTCAATTTTGATTTGTTTTGTTTTACAGTGTAAAACGGTACTCGGGAGGACAGTTCTAGAGGGCCGAGCATGAAGAGGAGGAACAAAGTTTTTCATTGTGGAATCATCATAAACATTGTTGTGTGGTTACTGTAGACTCATTTTATCTTCATCTTGTCGACTTTTCACGTACAAATATATTTTCTTTTAAACTGGTTACATTATTATGACTACGCCTTGTTTTAACATTAGACTTGAATGGGAAAGAGTTTGCGTGTATAGTCATTTTTTCAGTTGAAAAATCGTATTAATATCTTTTATATTCTGACGAACAAAACATGTTCATTTGTTTAAAGAAAAACAATTAAATCCTTAAAAAGGCATGTTTTGTTTGTGAGTGAATTATGTTGACATTGATCAAGTTAATATTTTACTAAGGTAATAGAATCAAGTTTCATAATTCATAAAACAAAAAAGAGAAAAGTGAGTGATAACTTTTGTTATGTTAGGGTTAATTATGATGTTGTTAGGTCTCAATCAAAAGAAACTCCAATTTTGTGTCCATTTCTTTGGTTGAACATTTTCATCGAGTCAGTTTATCATGTTCATGTGTAATCAGATATGATAGGGTGGGGTAATGACGGAATTCAGATGTATAGCAAATCAAATTCATTATTGTTATGCAGGATATCATAACTTTTATGATGTTAATGTACTTTTATTTTCACTTTGTTCATCAATGCATCTAGATTGAGTTCTCTTCTCACATACATGTGTATGTATCTATAATGTAATTTAATTTGATTAAGTTGTCTCATTACATATAGCAAGGTTTAATACCTTACTTCAAAAGAAGTCATTTTCTCTCAGAATCTTTCCTCAAGGACAACAAGTATAAAATGATAACTAGTCCTACCACTAACTTGTATTAATCTCCACTTCATCTGTTTAGTGAATTTACATTTAACAGTTGATAAAGGTGTTATTCAATGATTATTTAAAGTCAACACACCATGATTACCTGATTTCTGATTCTGTCAAAGTGTTGGGAAGACTGTGATTTTTGTAGTGAACTTAAACATTGCTATTTGAGATTAGATGGAGTTGAGATATATAAATAAAATATTGGTATCTAAAAGGATTTTGTTTTACTTTGATTTAACAAAACTTATACAATGATCAGGAAATAAAATGGATCAATATTTATAAAGTTACTGTATGTGATGTAATGAGGGTATCACTGTTTCAAAGACATAATTTTGGAGTGAAGTCTAGTTGTGTACAAAAGTAAGAAATCTAAACAGAACACTTAAAGAATTTAAGTATAAAGAATTAAACATTTATTCTTGGCAAACGAATCACTTGGACCTTGAATTTTTTGTCATAACTTTTCATCTTGACCTTGACATATTTCTGGGTGCACAATTTCACATGTTCCACATAATATTGTAATGCATCATGGTCAACATACCATTGTCATATTCCGCATACCGTTGTCATGTGTCATTCCATATACCATTATCATGATCCACGTACCATTGTCATATTCCACATACCGTTGTCATTCCATATACCATTATCATGATCCACGTACCATTGTTATTATCGATATACTATTGTCATAGTCAAGGTTTGTGGTCAGCATCACAGTGAAGGGTAAATTTCAAGCCAACTGAATTACAATCCTTGTTAGTTCCTAAAATTCTCAGGATCTAGGTGATGATTAAGGTCAGAGGTCATTCATCACTTGGTTTATGCTTAGGAACAAACACCTTTCATACAATTGTACTTTATTTTCAAATTCACAAATGCGTAAGTAATTTTTGACAGACCTATGATTTTTTTTGCTAAAGATCAATGAAATACAACCTTTACATAGAGAGGTTATTGTCACACTTCATATTTGGAGTACATGTATTATAAAAAATGGGACTCGTGCTTGATTAATATGATCAATAGTGTAAGCTAGCTCCCTGGTGGTGGACAAACATTGTATAGTACAAGGTAAAGTACTTTAAAGGAAATCAACACTTAAATAGCAGTCCTCTGTAGACAACAGATTAACATTATTATTGCCTTGAGGTAAGTAAATAACCACCTTGCATAGCATATCGGGTATATTTAACATACAAAAAGTGTAAATTATGTGTAGGACGGACAGCCAAGTGCTAACACATTTCACCTCTGGTTATATTTTGAAGTATCATCAACATCTGTAGATCAATAGACTGGAATGTATTTGAAGTTGAAGAACATAAAAAAAACAGTAAAAATAACAATGGTGGACATGAAGTGAGACAAATTTAACATGTCACTGTGAAGGAATTAAGCAAATAATTTTCACCTGAAATTACAAAGAAAAAATGTATCCATGACTTTGCTGGAGTTCATTCTCTTCATTAGCATCCCTTCATTTTGAACTAGAAGTACAAAATATAGACAGAGACCAACAAAAAGTGATGTGAGCAAAGATGAGCCCCACCTCAGGACATACTTCAGTTATTACCAGGGCCATATTTATAGAGTGATTCAAAACCTTTCCATAAAGTATCTTTTTCCTACAAATTTCGGCAACTGTAGGACAAGATATGCCAAATACATGCCCTGGACTTGGACAAGTACAAGATATGCTCCTGACATGCCCTTGATCCAGACAAGAACAAGGTATTCCCGAAACAGATACACTTTTGTATGAGGGATATCCCCAATTTGGTATAGAGAAAGAGATGAAAACTAATGGTATGGACACTGTTGTATGAGATATCCCAAATTTGGTATGAAGAAAGAGATGAAAACTAATGGTATGGACAGTTATTAAGAGGATACAGATTGGTAGAAACTATGTGGAAGACAACATACATACTGTGAACAGCATTTTGATTTGTGACTCAAAACAAGTGAATTAAACAAACCTTTAACTGTGTCAGCATCCTGTCACAGTACACATCAGAAATATTAAATACAATGAAATTAGACCAGTTTACATGCAACTCTTTACAAGTATCTTCAAAATGTTACAAATTTGCCAAATAACTTAAAAGAGTTAAACAAATTTTCAATCTAAAGTCTATCACTAGTTGTAAGTAAGGATTTACTGTTTTATAAGTTGAATTTCACTAGTTGTTGCAATAAAAAGACACAAAAATGTGAATACTGTCGGCATGACATGGTAACACCTTGTATGGTGACTCTTGTAGGAAAAACAAAAATTGTTCTCTACCATAAGTTTTATCTAAAACAACTAAACTTTTAAATAAGCTATACAAACTCGTCTAGAATGAACTACAAACTTGATTATTTACATACTACCATTATCTGCTAGAGAGAGAAAACAAAGGGTAAAAAGAAAACAAAACTATAGAATGACTACTTATTCCATGGTTACAAAAAAAAACCAATAAGTCTTGAAATATAAAAAATAAAATTTTGTGTGAAATACTTAACAAGGTGACAAATTCTGATTAACTGACTTCACTAACAGCCATAAAATAACAAACGATGGAGAGATGTGATATAAAATAAATAAAGATGACAGAATTGGGTGCAACATGGACTCTGAAATAAAATAGGGTCATTTCGAAATTTATAATACGTAAAAAAAGAAACATATTTGATAGATTTTTCATGGTGTACAAATCTACACAAAAAAAACTGATGAATTTTCCACTGCTAAAAATTGCCAAACCGAGTGAGAAGGATGTGATCTGAATGAATAAAGATTATCTTGAGTATTGTGATGCGTTAAGATGATAAAAGTAAATGTTTTGAGAACAATTATTTACGTACAGAGTAAATATAATGTAAACTATATACAAATGATTGTTAGTTTATACATCAGTGTTGACTATATTACAGGAACCATAATTATCCATCAATAGCGTATGTCTGGTAATAAGCCCACCAAATATCTAGTGCTATTGGGACAAACATTCACAAAATATACTATTTCATTGTCCAGTAATAAGCCCACCCCAACTTTTTATTCAGATGGTGTGCCCTGACTTAGAGCTGGATAAATGTGACTTTTAATATTTGGAATGTTTCACAATATCACAATACAGATGCAAGGCCGGACATTACAACATATTTTGATAAGACATATATCGTATGTAATATACATTGGATACATTCGTACATCATTACAAATAAGCATTCTTAACAGTGGTTTTGATGAATGTCTCGTCAATAAGGAGCCTATCAAGATGATTAAACTCCTTAGGATGACATTAACTATTCTGGTAACATCATAAGTACAGCTTTATTGTACTAACAGGCTGAATGGTCTCTGGGCTTTTGGCCTTTTGACCTTTCAGTAGACAAGCTTAAGAACAGACCTAAAGGAAGTTAAAACATTCGGCTTTAAAATCAAAAACACATTTTCTGCATTTTATTTTGTTCTGGTGACATGCTTATTTTCAGATATATGTACTCAAAATATTAGTATTCAAAATCTAATCTCTGAAAAGTTTATTTTTTTATTGATTTTTTTTTTTTTTTTTCTGTTACAGTGATTATACAACATTGTTTATCAATAATCAACCCATCAATGAATTAAATAAATAATGAACCTGCTCAAATGTTACATAAAAAAAATGTCTGGCCATATTTTCCAACTGGTGGTTTTATGAATAAATTGATTGTTACCGATTATCAGGTTTTGAATAACATATTTCCTGTATATACGATATCTGTTAATCTATAACAGCAATCACATGAAGATTTAACAGCTTTGAAACCAAACCAAAAAAAAAACTGCAATTCTCTTGTATGTATAAAATATACGTATATACAATTTTTTGAGATCTATATTCTCAAAAAGCACCTGCATATTATACATGTGTGCACAAGTGCTTAATATTTATAGTGTAAGGTTATGGCCATGTAAAATCAGAGATATAGAAAATACAGTGTTTTCGTTATGTTATACAACTTGACATTTTAAACATCCATATCAACTCAAGGATTGTTTATAGTTTTTATATAAATATATTCAGTGAAAAATAAGAAAAATCATGAGAAAACAAGAAGAATTTTGCCCCATTGCTTGCTTCTGAAATACCATATCTGGTCTTGGTCACAATATTGTGTACCCTGAGGCAAGCCTTTATCCAAATATCGTACATGATTGAAGACATGTAAAATTAATCAAACCACAGTAAAAGCTTTTATTTTCCAACTGTATAAAACAGATGCCTCGAAAAATGTCTGTTTTGCTTAATGACATTCCTCCTCTTTGCTTCAATCTTTGGGTAAAATTGAAATATAATAATAACAATAAAAGTTTACAGTATTACAATCCACAAATATACTGCATAAACACTAAAAGAGAAGACACAAAATCTTATCTAAAAGTTGTAACATGAAATATTATGTATAAATCTAATGTCAAGTTAGCCATGTTGTGATGATGGCAACTTCTATAATACCAAAGATTTAATCTTTGAGTTTTGGTTGTAATCCATATTTAGTGTGTTTATCCTGTTTAGAGATTGAGGACAATTACCTCTGACTCTCAGTCAAAGGATGGGCTTATTATAAGACCTCAGAAAGCTAAGGGATGGGCTTTAAGCACCTCAGGGGTATGAGGACCGGTAGGGCTGGGGTCAGCACATTACCACAGACTCAAAGTCAAAGGATGGGCTTATAAGACATCAGAAAGCTAAGGGATGGGCTTTAAGCATCTCAGGGATATGAGGACCGGTAGGGCTGGGGTCAGCACATTACCACAGACTCAAAGTCAAAGAATGGGCTTATCATAAGACATCAGAAAGCTAAGGGATGGGCTTTAAGCACCTCAGGGGTATGAGGAAGGGTGGGGCTGGGGTCAGCACATTACTACAGACTCTCAGTCAAAGGATGGGCTTATTATAAGACATCAGAAAGCAAAGGGATGGGCTTAAAGCACAGAGGGATATGGGGAAGGGAGGGGCATCAGTCAAATGGTGGGCTTATTATAGGACCTCAAAATGTTAAGAGACGGGAGCCCACATATTATCGCTGACTCAAAGTCAATGGTTTGGAGGGCAGTACATTACCTGAGACTCAAAGTCAAGGGATGAGTTTGTTACAGAACATTGAAATACCATTTGTGGGTAATGCGACTGAACAGCAATAGATATGGGTGGGCTTATTACCAGTCATGGACTTATTCTTACATAAATTCAGTGCTCTTTGTCTTGCTATGGTATGTTCTGAGCAATTACTTCAAATTCACATCCAAAGTTGTATGTTGATTTAAGGTAAATATATTTCTTCAGCCATGTCAAGTCTAGCCTGATGGAGCCTACAATTTTTTTTAACATTGCTTACTAAATATGGACTAGAACTTAGTGGCACTGTACACAAATCATGATGCTTACCATGTTACCTGATTGAGCATCATGGAGAATACGATTAGAATTGTGATAAAACTGCCCAATAAAACTCCATACAACTACACATACTACCAAGCTCAGACTGAGTGTAACACAGTTCGTATAAATAGGGACTCTGTCGATCCAAAAATCATACAAGCACAACCATTTTCCTGATTTGTCCGATTTCTTTCCTGAGTTGGTCCTCAAGAAGTTTACGCTTGCCTTCCATGACCGTTTTCATGTTGCTGATACTTTCGTGTACAGTGGAGAAACCTTCCCTTGTCTCACGTTTTAACCGTCCGAACTCCTCTGCATTCGTCTTTATGTGGTTGTCCAACTTCAGCATGAGCTTTGACTCCAATTGCTGAAGAAATAGAAATTTTTGAATGTTATTACTTAGTAGACTACTTTGTGGTCCTGTTTTTTAAGGAAGATGATAGAGAAACCAGCATCCAGATAGGAAAACCTTAATATTAAAAGTTTGGCACTAAAACATCCCAAAAAAGGTATTAAATACATTAAAAAAAAAAACCAAGAAAACCATGACCATTTAAAATTAAATTGTAAATGAAGTATATGCCACAAAGTTACAAAAGATGTATTACACACCCAATTTTGTCTCTTCCTTTTTATGAAGTTTGCTGATGTGAGCCCTCTATTTTCACCTGAATACTTTTCTGTTGAAGGTCAGTGATGCATGCCCTCAAGTTTTGCCTGGTTAGTTACATGCTGGTGTTAAGTGGTGCATGCCTTCAAGTTTCATTTGATTATAGATGTGTTGGTGATCAATGATGCATGCCCACTAGTTTTGCCTGATTACTTATATATTGGAGTTTGGTGATGTGTGCCCTGTAGTTTTGCATGATGATTTACATGTTGGAGTTCAGTGATGCATGCTCATTAGTTTTGCCTGATTACTAACATGTTGGGGTTCGGTGATGCATGCCCACTAGTTTTGCCTGATTACTTATATATTGGAGTTTGGTGATATGTGCCCTGTAGTTTTGCCTGATTACTTACATGTTGGAGTTCGGTGATGCGTGCCCTCTCCTCATGAAGTCCTTCCTCTAACTTTGCAAGCCGTGCATCTGTTACGTAATGATTTTCATCCATCCGCCTCTCAACTTTTTCCTAACAAGTACAGAATATGATAAGCTCACAAAGTAGATATAATTTAAACTTCATAAAAGACTTCTTTAGAAAAACTGAGTCAGCAAATTTTTCAGCCCATTGAAATTAAAAAATTAAAACTTCACTGTTGTGAATTTCCAATCTTACTGTATCTATCCCACAAAAAAAACCTCAAAGATGGGCAGGCTTTTTGCATGACAACGAAAGAGGAACATCTGTTGGTACAATCTTCTCAAGAATATTATATGTAAGGGTGGGCTTATAAGGAAGCATTTTCAGGCTTCTCTATAAATAAGATAATGACATAGTCAAGTTGTGGTACTTACAATGAGAGTGTCTTTGGCTTGAGAGATCTTGTCGATGTGACTGTACATACGCGATTCTAGCTTTTCTCTTTCTCCCTCTGTGTTGGTTTGGAAAATGTGGAATGAATTCTTAAGGTCATCGATGAGTGTGCGTGTCTTGGTGTCCAGCAAGGCCATCTGCTGACCATGATCACCCTCTATGTGGGTCAGCTTCATCTTCTGTTCCCCGACATAGCGGTCAAGGGTGTTGGTCACTTGAACAAGCTGAAGCAAAAGGTGATACATAAATAGTATTTATCATGAAGTTAGCCCAGAGAGTGAACACATTACCACTGAATCAAAGTCAATGGGTGGGCTTATTACTTGACCTTAAGGGGCCAACACATTACATCGAACTCAAAGTCAATGGGTGGGCTTATTACTGGACCTCAAGGTGCCAACACATTACATCTGACTCAAAGTCAATGGGTGGGATTATTACCAGACATATCTAAAACTCATGAGCTGAAATATGACATGTAGGCCTTCCACCTACTCTCTATTGGTTTCTTGGAAATTCAATGAAAGAAATATCAACAATGACTTAAAAAAATGTTACTATAATGGTGGTTGTGACTTTAAAACAACTTGATTAGTAAAGTTATTTAAGGTTCTGTGGTTCTTCATCCCTTTGTAACATTTAATTAAAACCAAGTCATTCATGAAGACCAGCTACAAAAACAGTAACGTTTCCTGTAATTCGAAATAACAATGATCTTGACCTTTTGACTTAATTGCTGAAATGAGATGATACAAGGATAACAGTTTCTTAGTTAAGTCAACATTTGATTAAAGTTTTTATGAGATGACATCCCTTCCCCTTCTGTTTTTATCTCCTTAGAGAATCACATAACATACAGATGAACAACAGAAATACAGGTACTATAGATTTCTTCATTTCACGGAAGAAGGAAACTAGACTCCAATGTCAGTGTGGGGGATAGATGAAACTTTGTTTACGAAAGAGACATTAATGAGATAGCTGATTGTCTGATGGCTATATAGATTTGTAAATAACAGACTGTCCATACAGGGGGCCACAATAGATTAGTCAGTCAATGTGTTGGTCTACACAACCTCATGTGAAGAGCAGAGGTTTTGGTGCAATGCTCCCTACCCGTGGTGGTTTGTATTTCTCAGGAAGCTGAAATGTGTCTTTGGGGAAGACATTTTACCCTAATTGCTCTGAATGGCATGTGATGGGCCTCCTGCATATTGTTCAGTGAGGTAACCACCAGATGACTCTATATAACATTAAGTGTGTGTTTGTGTAGACAGATAATTGTTGATTACCGTGGTAACAAGAAAATGGGGTAAGGAAGATTGAAATGAAGGGTCAAAGGTTTGAGGTCGTACCCTAGATTCTAGTTGGTGTACTCTGTCCAATACTTTGCCGTTGTTATCGGATGCCTGGTTACCTAGCGCTTTCATCGCCTCTTGATTTTGACGTAAATCAGTTGATAGTTTGGAGATTGATGTGTCGCAGCGCACAATTCTGCCACGCAGATCAGTCAGAGAGGCAACATGGTGTACTTCCAAGTTCTTGACTGCATTATTTGTGCCAACTGTTGCATTATCTCGGTGTCGTAACTGATCGTCCAGCATCTAATCAAAGGGAGATATTACATGGTTAGTGATCAAATGAAATGAGATTTAAGATAATATTTCTTCTAAAACAGTGACAAATACTTATGTCATTTAAATCTCAAAATGTTCCTAAATATATATATATATGTATAACTATATGAAAACCTCATCCAGTCTGCATCTTATGTAAAATTTAATGAGTTGGTAGAATGGGGAATATTTTCATGTTTGTGTATCAGAACAGTCATCATGGCAAACATGTTAACTTCAGTACTCAATTTTAAAGGATGGTATAATTCCTGACAGTAATATCACCACAAAAATTCAAGAGAGAGCGATGGTGAAAATTAAAAGCCACAAAAGTAACTTGGTTTACATTCAAAAACTTAAGAATTTGAAATCAATCCTTTAAGGCAAATACACACATATATATATATGATTATTTAAAAATTTAAAATTCAAAAATTATAATTATGATATTTACTTAGATTATGTCTAACAGTCACATTGGATTGAGTTTGAGAATGACTTACAGCAATGTCTGTGTTGAGTTTGTTGACGATTGCGGTGATAGTACGAATATGTTCCTGTAACATAGAACGGGCATGTTTTTCTTCCTGCCATGTCCCGTGTGTAAAGTTTAAACTGTCAATCACATCTTCCTTGATCTTAAATGCTCGGTCAATTAATGTTTGTGTGTTCCTTTCCTGTTGAGCAAGTCTCTCTTCTAAAATGTCAAGACGGGATGGCCCGCGACTCTCCCTTGGAATTATTTCCTCTGGACGAGGGCTATTTCTGTATGCTACTCCGTATTCCTGACTCTCCGTTTCTGCATAAGGGGCACGAAGTGCAGGTAAGGTGCCTCCCCTTCTAGCCATGTCAAAGTTCACAAATTAAACAAAAAATAAATGTTCCTCACACACAAATTATTACAGCTTTCATAGAAAACTCTTTGTCTTGTTTCGTTAGTGTTTGGCTGATGTCCTGTAACTTTCCACCTGCAATAACAAAGAAAATTTTTTTCAATATATTGGTCGATTAACATAAGCATAAAAAAAAATGTTAAAAATTCTGAAACAACATAAATATTTAAAGTTACCTCTATTTCACTCTTGTCCTTGCACAGTAATACAAATAAAGAAAAAGTATATGTCTACTTTGTAAATAGATTCCACTGTGGCATTGAGGATCAGTATTAAGAATATGAGTCAATTCACCGGCTTCTGGTTTGTTTGTCAGGAATGTGGAAAACATGAATCAATAGCGAATACTGATTAAGGATCATATTCTGGCCAACAAAATGGCTGTAAGCACATGTAATTAAGCCGTAACTGGTAATGTAGAAGTTGAAGTAATTGATAGCTGTATATATGTCCATGATATTTTATTCTTGAGAAAATCAATATTGATCGAAACTGCAGCATCGGTGTAGCATTGTATTGCGAAGCATGGGGAAATGGCTGATATTATTTCTTAAACATCATGCCAGAACTACAGATCATATTGTTGACTTTGTGGATACTCTTAATCCACAAGTTTGTTGTCCACAAAATCGTAAATAATTGAAAATTAAAACAGCTAGAACACCCCAAAATCTGAGCCCACCAAAATGTATGATTTTTCAGTATGCCTGCTGAAGATGATTTTTGAAACAGAACTCAAGTAATTCTATTGGCTAAAACTTGAACACAACTTTCCATCGTGTTATTATACTTCAAGATAGCATAAAATACTCCCAGTTAAAACAACTAGTATACAAATCATGTTCCAGCCAAAACATCATCAAAACCATTTGCGAGTTAAAAACTGTAATACAGGTTTGACTAAAAACTACAAACTTTCCTCAAAATAGCTTCACCTGTCATATCTCTCAGGTAAATTAATATCTATTATGGTTATGCACTGTAAGACAGCATATACCTGTCTATAAAGGTCACTTCTAAATCAAATACCTTTCTACAATGGTCAACTCTATCATTAATACCTTAATGGAAATAAAGGAAATTTATAAAGAATATTGCTTACTGTAAATATCACTTCATAGTAAATATATATCTTAGATATATAGGTCATTTATGTAATATATATATATCTGTTTAATTAGGTCATCTTTATAGCTAACCTTTTATGTAAGTCAACTCTTAACAATAAATATCCATAAAGGTCACATTTATATTTAACCTTTGTATAAAGGTCGACTCTATATAACAAATATCTTCTACAAAAGGTCACCTTTAAAAGTAAAACTTTTATAACGATCGACTCTCTACAATGAAAACCTGCCTATAAAGGTCACCTTGATAGTAAACCTGTTATAAAGGTCAACTATAAACAATGAATACCTGTCTATAAAGGTCACCATGATAATAACCCTGTTGTAAAGGTCAACTATATACAATAAATAACTATCTATAAATATCACATTTAGATTAAAACTTTTACAAATGTCAACACTTTTCAATGAATCTATGTACCTCTCTATAAAGGTCATGACTTGTCGGAAATACCTGTTTATAAAAGCCACTTTGTATAACAAATATATGTCTATGTGAACACCTTTTATAGTAACAAACTGCGTCACCTCTATGACGAGGACATATCAACCTCTAGTTTGAAATATCAAGTCAGCCTGATCTCAGTTGAGTTTTCTTGAAACGTGACATTTTCATGTCAATTGTGTATAAATCATGGAATCTAGAAAATGTTTGAAAAGAAGGAACATTTGTTTAGTAGTTACAGGTTGGGAACTCCCTCAAATAGTTAAAACTATCTCCATTTTGTGAGGCTGCGTTCTATGTATAAGAAACGATAAAATGTTGGAATATAATGTTTTATGGGTATCGACAACTCTTGTAATCATAATAAACATCTCTTCATCAGTTTTATTTTATTAGCATATTTCATGGTTATTTGTAAACAAAATTGTTTGTAATAACCTAAAGACATGTAAAATCAATCAAATATACTGAATTCCAATATTTTGTCGTTTCATAGCATTAGTTGTAAAATACACGGGGAAGTTTTGCAAAATCAAATCAGCCTTGACCTCCCATAGGAGTTCTCACAACAAGATACACCAGTAATGCTATGTCTGTCGGAAGTCTGATCAACAAATATATACACAGATCATTCAATAATGAAAATCACCATTAAGTTTTAGAAGATGTTCTGATGTAAATGCCAACCACAAAAATCAAATATGATTTATAAATATTTATACACAGAGATGTATATTGACAGTCAAGATCATTTCATTTTTATACTCATCTGTCAACAGATAGGGAATTGAATGACATGGCAAAAGACATTAAAAGTAGAATAAATAAACGATGGCCATCAATTTATATGGCATTCTTACCCACCTTGTGGTAGTCTTATTCAATTCACCTCATGTTACATGGTTCAGAACCAATATACAACAGTACCTGAATATTAACTTTTCCTCCGAAAAGACACGGGATTACAAATAGTCTGAATGTCCTACCTGATGGTACTACTAAGTTGGCTACACAAAGGCACAGAACATTCTCATAAACATGTAAAAACAGGATTCACGTGGGTTGAAATTAAAAATTGTTTACCTGTGAAATCTTCTTTAAAATTCGAACAAGTGGAATTAATTTGAAGAAAATACAAACTTTATTTACAACATGACAACCATGTTTTCCAAAATGGTGGGATTGCTCATGCTAGTTAGAAATACATGGGATCATTCTGTGAAAGGTGACAGTTCATATCAACTTTGGATTTTTATATACAGAAGGGGGCCCAGTGTGGGGATGGAATTTCAAAGGTGAAGTATCAAAAAAATACTTAAATAAGGATGAATGCCATATTCTTAACCTTCAAAAAATTATATAGATATATGTTAGTAAATGAGAACAAATCTTTGATCCTTTCAATTTGTAAAAAGACTTTGGGTGAATGGTCAGTACAACTTTTTATTTTTTGTAAAACCTGAATTTTACTGACAGATTTTTCTTAGTCCTCAGATACAGCTACCTCAGCACCTCACTTACTATACACCTCACATAATTCTGATATAAGTACCAGACCTGGCTTCTATAACAACTTGTCTTAGGATGATCTACTCTACCAACACCTGAATTTTCTGACACCTTGCTTTACCGACATCTGACTTTTCTGATACCTAACTGATACCTTACTGATACGCCAGCACACCGCCCCCACCCCTCACCCCCTGCTCTTGCCTTCCAAAAATTATAACTGTGATTGTCTCCATTATCACTTAGTAATGACACAAGAAAAATAGCTGGTCTTCTATATCTTGATTCCCAAAAACATATATTTTTTTTTCACCCTAGAAAAATCATTCTTACACAAAGAAACCAATGTCTGAAACTTATCAAAGATGTTATTGTTGATTAACATTTCAATTCTGTTTATAAATATTCAATATTAACACAAATTTCAATAACACAAAATGTACAACAAAAATTATAGCATTTAATTTTTTGACAGATTTTTCCATGTTCAGTCACAAAATCAGCAAATTGAAATCTCATATATTCTGTTCTAACTATGTTGACATATTTAAAATTCATCTTTGAAAATCTATTGTCTAATCAAAATTGTTTGTTTACTTTCTGTGGGACAAGAGATAAGAATCCAAATATGCAAACAAAAATAATTTGAACAGTCCTCCATTGTACGAACTCCCTGAACTAGGTAAGGGTAGAATTTAATTATGGCTAACCGCTAGGGATTATATCCCCCTAGGGAGCCTCATGTGGGAGCCCTGTCCATTATGTAAATATCATTTATGGTTATTGAAATTTTGTTGAATAGGTTTCAAGTCTATCAAACCAATGTGAAAAATGTATGCAAGTAAATATGGGGTTGGATCGCAGTTTTATTAAAAAAAGATTTGTAAGCTGAAGAATTTGAAGAAATGTGTCACAATGTGAGCATCGTAGGAGTGAGTGTCAATCTACTTAAAAACACAGAAGAAAGATGTTATCTTACCGTCCTTTGATGGAATATTGTCTTAGCTAATTTGATTCTACATATATGTAAGTAGAAAATTATATCTTATAATTATATGTGATGTATTTCTGATTTTTGTTTTTACTTCATTTTTTTCTGTTTTGAAGATTTCTTTACAATAATTATGCTTCTGTGAGTGTACTCTTGATGTCCTTTTTTTCTTTTCTTTTTTATAAAAAAGCATTTTTGATGTGTTCACTTTTATCAACAAATTTTGGTAAACACAGTCAGTTAATGCATTTTATTTGTAATGAATGTTGACTGATTAAAATATCATTTAAAAAACATCATTTTGTTGATCAAAAATATGTTTCCTCTGTTTAATACTTTTACTTAAGACCCCAGCTGTTGTCTTCCTGCTGGTGTTACTGTGTGTGAAGCACACGTCATATTGGTTTAGTAATTAGAAAAAACTACCTGTACTTCCGTTAATCAAAACTTTTTGAACAAACACAACAGTGTAAGGACAAATTATTCACCTACAGCAATTAATATCATGGAGTTTGTTTTATTGTTTGGCATCAATTCACTTCTATTTTAAATGTTCTTCCCCTCATGTTTATAATTTTTACATTGATTGTTACATCCAACATTAATGAAACTGGAAAAATTTTATAACCCTGTACTACATGAATGATGTCCAAACCAAGAAGAAAAAGTGAATTCTGATCATCTGAATTTTCCAGGATAAGTGTCGAAATTGTTTTTGATTGTACACATCAGCCATCGGCAATGAATGGTGAAATGATTTTTAATTTGTAAATTTGATTAATTTATTTGTTTACATTCTACAAATCTGATTACTTTTGATGACACAATAACTTTTCCATGTTTTCTGTTGTTGGTATCAGCTGTTGTAGTGTGGTTCAAACAATACCGTAAACACTGATTCCTTCTGGGTTGAATTCCCAAAGAGTTCAATTAAAATACCTACAAACCAATGTACTGGTTTTCAATTTGTTGGTTTTGAAGCACTGTCAACAAGTGATCTAATTAATCATAATCTCCAAATCGTTTACCCTAGATGACAATTAACAACAAAAACACTGTAATTTGCTATGTGTATGTGAATTTAATTTCCTACGAAGGCATAGGTATTGAAAAACTCATTCTATAGGAAATCTTTTATGAAGCTGAATAGATTCTGGCTAAGTATTTATGGGTGTTTTACATAGGGTGAGTAAAGCACTTTGAAAGGCCATACGAAGTGTGAACATGTTTAGCATTAATCACACTCCCTAGACATGGCAACATGGCAAAGAATCCTAACATTTTTCTGTCTCTGGTTCACGTAAAAACATTTCAACTTGGACCTCCTTACTCATACACTAGGTAAGTTTATATATTGAAATACTTCAGAATTTAAATAGATTTTAAGAGTTTGTTTTGAACTTTTGTCTTTCTGTGATAATCTTTTAAATTAGGGCACTCAGATACATAAAAAATTGAGAAATTAAGAAACTGGGCACTGATACTGGCCTGGATAGAAACATTTCTTTGTGTGTAGATTCTGTGGTATTTTTCTTTAGATGTGGAAATAATTCAATTTTCAGTTCATTGATTTGTACAAGATATAAAATGTAAATATGTACGAATGGATTATCCATTTTAATACCCCAGCAAAACTGGGTCTCACTAACCATCTGTAGATGTACATATAAGGTAAGGTGTGTAGGGGTGGGGGGACACATTAACTCTGATTTACAAGAGAAGAAATTAAGTTTATTTCTGGACAATGAAACAGTATTTGTTGGGATCTTGGCAGAACTACACAAGACAATAGGGTAAGCTTGCTACCAAACACAGACATTTGTGTCATTTAAAATTTGGTCCATTCAGTGTTTGAAAAGAACAGAAAAAACTGGCAAGGCTTGAGACAACAAAACCATAAGGTACACTGAAGCACAAAAGACATGTGACTTTACAACATGGCACTGTCCATGGGAATGAAATTTTTGCCAAAAGACAATGACTGTCATAAAAATCTTTCCCAATTTTTCATCAACCTGCATTTCTAGAAAACCAATGTTTTCAGCTTTTTAATCAGCTGTCAACATGTCAAAAGAAATCATGATATTGAAAACCATTTCTTGAACAGTTATCACCTATTATATGTTAAAATTACAGGTAAAAGAAGTGGGTAGGGGAAAAAAGAAAAAGAAAAAAAATGAAGAGGGTATGTCACTATCTAAAAACAGAAAATTCATCATAAAAAATTGTAATTATTCTGTTTGTTATACAGCTTAGAAGTGTTTAAGGTATATGTATGTTATTCATATCAAGTACATGAGGGTTTATCAAACTGAAATGGTCATTTATTATCTTGTTGCATAATTAATATTTTTTATATTCATTTAAACTTCCATTTCAACAATTTTGTTTGTAAGATAGGAAGTCTGAAGAGGATAGGAAACATAGCATGGTAGGAGATTGGTGCTTATATGACAAGAAATTAATTCACTGACTTATACATACTATATTTGTGTGATAATTAGCCATGTGTGACAAAAAACATGCGTGGCAATAAGCCTTAGTATGACAATAAACCCATGTATGAAAATAAGCCATGTTTGGCAATAACAAATCTCGCAATAAGCCCATTGAATGATATCTATTGCAGTTCTAAAAAATTATTATGGTTCTGTGATAAGTCCACTCACAACTTCCAGCTAAAGATAATGGGTTTACCCATTGGTCTTACTGTAGTAAAAATAAGGTACATGTGTATTGTCAAAATTTTAAACACTTGACAGAATCAAACCAATGGCTTTCTTACCATACTGTGTTCATTTCGTGCTAGGTTAAACATGCTATGTTCACAGGCTATACAATATTAATGTTTCTTGAAAACCTTTGACACCTTCATCAAAAGGTACCTGTACCACTGATATCAAGATAATGTACTCGCAGTATGTTTTCATTTTACATAGACCGGTAGTATAGAATCTTCCTATGGTTCATACCGATGGGCTGACATTCTCTTTTCAGAATCTGGCATTTAATTTTATAAAGTGATTGTACACTCAGAAAGTTTAGACAGTGGAAATGAAATGGCCTGTACTTAGGTCCTAAGAACCCTTATACACACAAAGATGAAAACTTCTGATTTAAAAACCAAATTAAATTTCAGTATAAAATCATAATTTTTCTTGTTGAAGTTCTTATTCAAAACATGAGTAGACCGATATCTTAAAAGTATAATTTTTTAAAACTCACATATCAAAAACATTTGTATCATAAATTCAAAAAAGCAAAAAATTTTCTCGTAGAATAGGCTTTTGTGTTTCATTACACATACAGTGAAAAACCAAATATATAAAATGATTTAACCTCAGTCTATAGATAAGGGAAACTTTCATTGCAAGTTTATCATTTGGTTTCTTTACAGAACAACATGGCGTACAAACTACCACCAATAACAGACACTGGCGGAGGTCAAACATACGAGGTCGTAGAGCAGGACTACAATGCGATTCACGTGGAAAGTCCTCGTCGTAAACAAGTGACCGTTGACTCCAATGTTCTCAGTCCACGTATCAACAACTTAGAGAGTAAGGTCTCCCAGGCATTGATGACACAAAATCAAGTTCTGTCACAGCAGCAACAAGTAGCAGACGCTCTCAATCAACAGCAAGCGATGACAAAAAATTTGATTGAGAAAGCTTTTAAAAATCGTGATGATTTCATAGATAGTCTCGCCCGAGCCAAAGATGACAGAATTGAGGCGAATACCCGATATCTTTTACAGAACCATCTACGCTACATTACCACCATTGTTCAAAGGTTGAGCCAGGATATTGCTGTAAGTAACAAGCCATGCTTTTCATTCAGAAGCCCGAGGGTCAAACATATTGATTCTTATTCAAACTTAAGGGATGGGCCTATTAGGGGACAAGGAAAAGGTTTATAATTCCACTGAAGAGCAATATATATATGAATAGACTTTTTCCTATAGACATGAGCTTATTTAGTTGATAAATTTACCTTCATTTGTTTGCCTTGTTAAGTTATTTTTGGCCTAATAATTAATTAAGACATTTATGAATCTGTTTACAGTATTCCATATATATCCTGCAAAAAGTCCATAGCGCTGACAAAACTACTCAAAATTAATATACAGTCCAAATAAAGAAAATTATTCACAACACAGGTGATTACTCCCACTGAACTGCAATTTATATACCAGGTAGGCTTGATGCAATATCTTTAGGAGGCGAGCATACAAATTCTGACTTAACCACTGGGACTGGGCTTAATGTAGGATGATGAAATAACATTTATTTATAATTCTCCCCAAGAGCAATGTTTACCATAAGTTATACAATGGACCTATTACCAGACATGATAGCTTTTTGCCTGACTATAAAAAAATTCCTAATGGAGTGGGAGAGAAGACAATTATTACATGTACATCACAATAGAGCTGTACTTTCAATCTAAGCTATATAAATAATTATACTAGAGTTCTGATGACGGCCAGCCTAGCTAGCTGTAACATGGACATACTAGACATATTTTCCGTACAATACCAATTGCGGGAACGTACCAAATTACAGATAAAAATTAACCTATCACCCACTCAATACAACTCCAGAGATCTGACAATTTCAGGTACCATTACTACCTACACAATCACCAGAATGTTGAACAAGAATGTAACTCATTTTCAAGCAAACAGAATTTATATGTAAACTGTGTTAATGTAACTTAACTATACTGTCACTACTATTACCACTTGATACAGACAATCGTAATAACATCATGGCTGAGTTATTATTTTGACTTAAGTTACGAAAATATTCATTCCATTTTTCTGATGATGGCTAGCCTGTCTAGTCGAAACATGTTAACCAATGATAAAACCATGGAATCCAGATGTTGATGTTCCATATTTTATGTCATCTGTAACTACCAGATTGGTATGGTAATCATGGGATTATCAACAGAATTTCGTTTTTATACCTCATACCAATTTTTACCGTAGCTTGTATGTCAGATGTCCTTTCAGTTAGGTAACTACCAGAGAGATGTTTCTGTAATTGCTTCTCTGTTGGCAGGTAATTGATAAGAATTTTGAAAGATTTTTGAGACCCAATTCCATGCTGCGAAGTTAACCAGATGTTTGAGATTTAACTAAGAAACAATATATAACAAAGATGATTTAAATGGTGTTTGGACTTTTTCCTCAGGAGCAAGAGGAACAACTTCGACTGCGTGACACAGCAGTGGTTGGAACCAACAAAGCTGTAGGGAAGATAGAGGTTCACAATGTTACAAGTCTACAAGATCTTCGTAGCAGAATTGTCCGATGTGATGCCAGTCTCATCCGACATTCTTCAGACATCAGAAACTGCTTCAATGACATCAATGTTGTGTCAAAGGAACAACAGTACCTTAAGGAGAATCTTACCGATAAAATACATCGACTGGAAGCAGAGGTACATAACACATATTCAGAGCTTAAAAAGTAGGGTGAATCGAAAAAAGCAGAACAAATCTAATCATTTTATTCCTTTTGTTTTGCCGAGGGGGAAACTTAATATAATCATGTTGTTTGTGTGTCAGCTTGTAGTAAAATAGTCCTGAACAGATTAAAGGTAGACACACCATACTATAATTCAAGATCCATATATAATTATAGTATATTTTGGAGGTCATCAATCAAGGTTAATGTGTCAAAGGTTACACTTGCCCACTTTTAAAATAACAACCCTGTGCATCAGATATCTTATACACCCTTCAGTAGATTTCATTTGTATTCACAACATTATATCAAAAAGTCTTAAAACCTGATTAAATTTTGGTTATCAGCCAAAAAGTGAAGGGGTCAAAGGTCATACTTGCCCTCTTTTCAAATTAGTTCTTTCATGCCAAAAATAAGAGGGGGAGTGTGGAGAAATACAGATTTCCAAAGATGTGGAAGACATGCATACTTTAAGGGGCATAATTTTTGTTATCTGCCAGATGCTGACAATTACAGCAGAGTTGGAAAGAATGACAGGACAGCAGATGTCAGAAATAGGTCATGTTAAGAAAAATGCAAATAGAGAAATTGCCATACTGGATGAAAAGAACCATACTGCTGTTTTGGAAGTACGAAATGCAATGGCATCCCAAAAAATGACAATGGACTCCCAGCAACACAATATGGAGCTCAAATTCACAGCAATGATGAACAAAGCCACAGAGGAATGGAACTCTGTTCTGGTGAGTTATCTCCCTTTTCTTACAATCACTTATAATTACAGCACTTTATAATCCTACCACCATATCTGAATAATTTATCTCTCTTATTTTGTAATGATGAAATGCAACATTATTCTGAGACAGAAGCAAATATCATCAGTTATTTTTCATAGATTTAACATTTGTTCTATAACATGAAATTACCACCTTGACCTAAGCTGTGTTTTGAATTATATCATTTTGCAAACAACACTACTATTCTAAGACTGTAACTATTGCTCTGAGTTACCTCCCTTGACCAAAGCTCAGTTTTGAATTATCTCCCTTGTTTTACAATGCTAAACCACACCATTATTCTAAAATCTTGGTTGCTATGGAGTTAATCTCTCTTTTCAAAATAAGCCCTCATCATGAATGAAAGAGTTTATTTTACAAAATGTTTATAAAAATCCACCAGTATATTTCAGATTACATTCTGTCATTATCCTGTTTGACCCCCGACCTCAGTCCTATCAAGAAACATGCCAAGTCTTCTACAACACAACCTCGCTATGAAAACCAAAGATTTTTCTAATGAAACTCTGGTGTACAAATTTTTAGTTCACTAAAAGACCATTCTCGGCTATCCTTGAAGCCAATTTTTGAATACATGACTAATGACTAGCATACTGACTAAGATAATGCATGGTATCACTGGTTTTCATCAAATCTGACAGAAAACTTCTAAAGAGCTGAATAGATGAATGCTGTGGAGGATGAATGATAAAAGTCCATGATCTAAAAGCCAATACTACTACAGAATATTCTCTACTTCACTCTTTCAAGATTTGTCCATCACAAACATGCAAGGCAGCATTGACAAAGAAAAAAAAATAGACAGGCATTGCAAGACTTCCTACTAATAATATGACAAATCATTTGTTGATATGCAGTACAGGACACTTCAGAAATTCTCAATTTCTAGTGATCTTATACATGTCTTTTAAGCAATATTCATGGTGTAGTATTTTGTTAAAATATAATGTTTCCCTCTGATTTTATTGGCTAAATTATACTGTACATGAATTGGTCTTGCAATTCTGTTCATTTCACAAATCTAATTTCACACAGGGGTTAGATATTACACTCCAAAGTTGGTCCAGTAAAAAATTATCCTCTTTCTATGGAACATAAGTTGGATGAAAAACACTTTTCTCAAGATTGAATTTTTTAGGACTTTTCTTCTGCTACAAAGTATATTTGAATATTTATCCTGCAACTTGCACTACCATTGTCCCAATACACCTGCCACATATATTTTTGCTGTTTTTGGGCGTGATGGATAACAGCTATATTTCAGTGTGTTAATTAATATAAAATCACTTTCTACATTTACAAAAAAATTACATTTAACAATATGAATAACAGTTGAAATAAGCGATTTTATATGCTGTAATTATTAAGTTTACATACGAAAATTCATACAATCACTCTCATTGATGTTTGAACTATATTTCTGCATGGAGCAATTATTATGGTGTACATCATCAGGCAAAATTCAACGCAACTTCAATGCCAAGTAAACAAAAATTGAACTATAAAACTGCTAAAGTTTTGATTGTTTGATTTTAATCACTGTTGCAGGATCTATAGAATACATGTGTATTCAGATATAAGCTGCTTGGGACAGAAAGTCAAAAGTGGCTTGCCAGAAACTTATATTTTAAGACACTGACCATGTTTTCTTTATTTATAACAAACAAAAAATAAATTCTGTTATAATAAGTTCAAATCTAAACATTAAACTGACTTGACTAATGTAGTTTTAATATCTAAATACCAGAAACTGTTTATTCTTAAATTGATGACTGTTGCTTACCTTGTGACAAAGTATTTGAGCCTTTGAAATAACACATCAAGATTTGTCCTTGTTTGTAAAAAACAATAACAAATCAGAATTCCATGATGATGACTGATCAGAAGTGAGAGATATGTAAACCATTCCCTACGTATCTACACTGTGATCTGTGCGACACATCAACATCCACACTGGGCTCCATCCAATCATTAACAATGAATCACAAGTTTCTGTTTCTACAGCTCCAAACTATATCATATTTTTTAAAACCTTATAATAAAATCCTTCCCTGTCTAATATAGAAAGAGGCAAGTTGACCTGAAATTGATAAAATGGTAATGAACTCAACACACATTTGACCATTTCTGGTAGCAATATCTTTTACTTTCATTTGAAGAAATTCTAAAGAAGAGGCTTATGGGGCCTGTAATGCTCACTATTTTACAGGTTTGCTTGGTTGGTATTGTTTCATGTAATCTGTAGGTTTACAATACTGACAATGCCATTTACTGAATACAAACTTTAAGTTTGATTGTGGGTGCACTATTCATGCAATACACAAAAATGCATCCATAGATGTGTGTACAAAAAGTGACTAAATACCTCTGTTTACTAAGTTATAAGGTTTAATCAAAAGGTTTGAATCCCTACTTTGACTATAGTTTAGTTGAGTATGTACAATGCCCTGGAGTGATGAGGAATCAAAGGGATTGAAACTGTCCCTTGATTATAGTTAAGTTTTGTGTGTATACAATCCTCTAGAGTGATGAGGAATCAAAGGGATTGAATCTGTCCCTTGATTATAGTTAAGTTTTGAGTGTATACAATCCCCTAGAGTGATAAGGAATCAAAGGGATTGAATCTGTCCCTTGATTATAGTTAAGTTTTGAGTGTATACAATCCCCTAGAGTGATGAGGAATCAAAGGAATTGAATCTGTCCCTTGATTATAGTTAAGTTTTGAGTGTATACAATCCCCTAGAGTGATAAGGAATCAAAGGGATTGAATCTGTCCCTGTCCCTTGATTATAGTTAAGTTTTGAGTGTATACAATCCCCTAGAGTGATAAGGAATCAAAGGGATTGAATCTGTCCCTTGATTATGGTTAAGTTTTGAGTGTATACAATCCCCTAGAGTGATGAGGAATCAAAGGGATTGAATCTGTCCCTTGATTATAGTTAAGTTTTTTCAGTCAGGTAACAACCAGCTTTAAGGAGATACTGCCTCAAAATGACCCTTTTTATACATGGCAATAAACACAACGAACAAAAATAAATGCACCACACTATATATTTGGGTATATACAGTCCCCTTGAGTGACGAAGAGTTACAACAATGGATTCTGTCTCTGGATTCTAGTGATGCAGGTAGTTTGAATACCTGGAAGTAGGTTGTCATAAATATTTGATCTGAAAATATTACATCTGGGACAGAAAGATCAATACACTGTACTACAACTAGTGAGACTGATTGATTTAGAAATCAATGATGTACATTTCTGTGATTTGTGTTGTAAAAACATTTCAAATAATGACGACAGATGATACTGAATTTTTCATCGTTTCTTTTGCCTTACATCATTAAAAAACCAGTCCACAAAAAGTCAACTGCACAAAATTTTGTGAGCTGTGTTGCCTAGCAACTTCAAATGTCACAAGCAGTGACAGCATCACTGACAGCATTGTTTGGACAGTTGCTTGTATGTGTGTAGGAGGAGACAATGAATAATACAGGATAAAGTTCAAGAGAGATTCTGATCAATTTTACATAAAAACCAAACTAATTAGAAATTGATAATTAACATCATGACTATTTGGAGGACCCTGTTAAAATCTTGTTCAAATGTTTTAACACTGAGTGTAAAAGGGAACTGATGTTGTCTTTATTCACCAATATCCCCAGGGGTTCCACACATAGTTTCTGATACAAAGTAGATGGTGGGCTAAGTACAATAAGTTTATACATTTGTTGGCATTTTCACAAACTAAAACTGACAGATGGACACCATGACACTTGGATGGACACCTGGATGGCAAGATGGACAGGCGGGAAGACAGACAGGCAGGCAGGCAGGCAGGCAGACAGACAGACAGCATGACAGACAGACTAATCCAAAAGTTAACCTTCTGACAGATAAATAATGAAGACTGATAAGGAAAACTTCATTCATTCTATACTCTATATATCAGGTTATAAGCTACGTTTTTTCCCTCTGCGGTCAGGGGTGTAGCATATATGTTTGTGTGGGTTTTATTTGGAGGAAAAAAAACCCTGGCAGAATAATAAAAAAAAGAAATCCTGTAAAAATCACAATTGTTAATTTTTTTTCAATCTTTAACTCGTATAGAATCGTTTGGAGAGAACAATGGGTGATACAGCCAACACATTCAGTAGCCGACTTCATCACCTGGAGGAAGTTGTGATGGCTGACAGGGAGATTTTACGAGACCTACAGGCGGTAAGTCACAATCACCTTGCCTTCTACACAAACTTCCATAATATAAGACTTTCAAAAGGATAATTGAAATGTCCCAACTTAAGATTGCAGCACAGTTAGGGGTACCTGGTCCCCATATAACTATAGTTCTCTGTAAGGAGGTGTATCCTGCTTTTATAATAGGCCTCTATAAGGTGTTCCCCTCCACCCCACCACCCACTTTTCGTTATTACAGTATTTTGTATGCAAAGTTTTAATTCTAGATAGTAACTCCATTTCGTGGTACTAACATGGGTTTTATTCTTTTTCTGTCAGTTTCCACTTCTTCTGCTGGATCATCTTAAATGTGAAAAAAGATCTTAACTCACCAATTACCTATGTAAAATACAAAAGCTTAGTACGCAGAGAAATATTTAAATGTTTCACAGAACAAATCTTGCCAGCATTTTTTTTACTAAATAACAAACACACCCATACAAGGAAATTCTATATGATTTGGGATTACTAGATGGTAATAAGCACAAATATTTTGTACATTTCCTTAACAAACACTGACAATTTGATTTCAGTGATCAAACTGTTTCACAGCATGTTCTCACTAAATTTTCAAACATGTATGATTTTCTGAAATATTCAAGTGTCTGTAACATAACTATATCACAACAAAATCTATAAATTGATGAAATGTGGGTCATTTTTGGAGGCAAAACATTTTAATGAAAACAGTCTTTGTTACATGTGTATATATACTTTTCATTTGTGCTTTACACTTTCAGCATGTAGAAAAGCGAATGGTGCACAGATTAGAAGTTCATAGCCGTCACCACCAGGAGGAGCTGGCAAAATCTAAACGTGAATTCCGTGAAGGCTTCACTTCTGTCCATGATAGCATATCAAATGCCAAAACAGTTCTCGAAGGGAAACAAAAACTGCTGGAGGACAAATTAAGAAAAGAAATCTCACAACTTAGACAACTGGTTGTGTTGGTTTAGTAATTAATGTATTGTATATTACAGGAACTCATTGATTCAGATGTTTAGTTAATGGAAGGAAACAAATCATATAATGAATGTCTGATTACTTTTAAAGTCAAAAAGTTTTATGCTAAAAACCAGATGGTCAAAGAATATGGGCTACTAGCACAATTTTATCCTTCAAAATAGCAAGGTGGCGTAGCAACTTGATTCTGTGCAGATTGTGTAAACACAGCTAAGGCAAGCGCATGCTGCCAGGAAAAAGTTCACTGGCTCAGAAAGACAAACAAATATAAACCTTAGTTGAACATGCATGTGGCATCTGCAAGTCACAAACTGGCATATCAGTATCAAGTACACACTGTCTGATAAATTTAAACAGCCTTACTAGCACCTCATTTTCTGACAAAGATGCAGTAAACTAGCATTTATAAGAACACTTGAATATACATTGTAAGCGAGCCGAAGCTCTCCAACTCTCGAACATTGTAGAGAGAAAAGATTCCATGGATGAGGAATAGCACATACCAGAAAGGGGAAAAGAGCGTCAATGTTTAAATAGTTAGAATAAAGCAGTTGTAACTAGCTCTTCCAAAGGTGTTATGAGCTTACCTGATTAATTCTGATGTTTTGAGAATATCTAATTAGTTTTTTTCGCAATGGATAAGTCGATAATGCATTCTCAACTGTGATTTAAGAAATGGAAATTTTCTATGAAAATTTGCTCTCAAGAAACAGTAAAATCAGATTACCATTGGCATTAAATACTATTATGAATGGAATCAAGTGTGGTTTCAGGTACGAAGGGAGGGAACTCTTCCTTATCCCAGGAATATTCTGGGTAATCAATTGATGCAGGGACGTATAATATATATTACATGTTTCTGGTTAATGTTATACATTTTCTATCTAATTTCTTGATATCTCTCTCCTTTTTTCCATCTCAAGCAAACACTATGGCAGAAATTCATCAAACTGGAATACATTTATTTAATACTAATTCATTTGAATTTTTAAAATTAACATACTTAATCATTTGCATGATATGATGTACATCCACATTTTGTAATATCTTAATAAAGTTTTTTTTAAAGAACTGAATCTTTCTTATAGTCTTTTCCATACTCATATAAGAGAGAAATATTGCACTACAACAGACAGGTAGTTGGGTGGCGCAGAGGTAATGCACATGCCTTTCACCTAGCTGATTGGGGTCGGATTCCTGGAATGGACCTGAAAAGGTATGGGGCTACCTGCCTGACCATGTGAGTTTTCCCTTTGTAATCTGGTTTTTTCCCCACAGTAAGACCCCTGGTATACTTCCATCCAGGTCAAAAAGAGTGATTAATATAAGTTGCAAAAACTTGTTTCACATTTGTTGTAAAATAGATAAAGTTTATTCATTTATTTAATATATGAAGGAAGATTTTTTTGTTTGCTCAATTGTCAAATTTTGTTCAATTTCTTCAGTCCAAATTGAAGATCAAATATACAATTGATGGTCTATGTTCCAACTAAACTTGTAATTTAAATCTAGAAATGTTCTGATTTCACTTTTTCTTATAATTAAAATACATGTACTTTAATGTCAGAATTATATCTAAAGGACACTTGGTTGTAACACAACAATGATATCATCAAAATTTTCATGGTTTGCAAAATGCAGGTGGAATCCTCAATGGACACAATTCACTGGTAATTCACTAGGGAAAGAACCCCAAGGTCATTAAAACAATGATGAATAATTTGATGTTAATTCTAATGAGGTCAGAATTACACAGCATTCATGATTGCAATAATTTAGTCATAAGATAAAAACCACATAAGAGAAGAATTGGAGAAATGTTTGAAGATTCTTGTAGGTAAGTTTTTTTTTTTTTTTTTTTTTTTGTTATTTGTTTTTTGTCTTTGTTTCCATCAACATGTTTATTTCTTTGTTTGCTTTTTTTTTATAAAATAATATCAAACATTTTGAGGGGACAACAAAAGCAAACAAAGAAAAGAGGGGAAATGGGGGCAAAATGCCATCAATGTGCAATGGTGATCAATAAACAATCAATTATTTGTAAATTTCAAACCATGAAAAAATTGACTTTGCCTCAATTTTTTAAGCATCTTTATTTACTAAACACAATACACTATACTTTAATGTTACATACTGTGTAACATTTTAACAATATTTGGCCATACTGACAGTAATCGTCTGGAGTGCTTTCCAATCCAATTTTTATATCTTTATTTGTACTTGTAATGTGTCCATGTTGGAAAACAAAATATTGTTTGAACTAAACTGGAAAACACTGAAGTACATTAAAAATCATCTGAATTTAATCTTGAAAACATTTTTAAAAAATGAACTAAACAAAAATTATGCCTTTTAAACGCTTAAAATTCTTGGTATGACTTCACGTGATAAAACTTAAGTTTTCTTATCTAAGTCTTTCGAAAATTGATTATTCTGTGACCAGATTAATGTTTTTCTTATTTTTCTTTCTAACATTGATCTTCTTCGGCATGTCCCACTTGGAATTTAAAAAATCACAGTTTCAGTCATAAATTCGTTACAACTGACCTATAACACAGCCAAATTTTATTAGATCTTCAAGAAATATTTCACAATATTTGTTGAAACATGTCTTGGCAACGAACCAGGCTTACCATTTTTCTTGTCATTATGAAAGTTTCGAGTTTAAAATCAATCAAGAAATAATCAAGTGACGTTAGTTGCAATTTAGTTTGGCATTGTACAACACAGCTAGTATATCAGATAGAAATGATGTCACTAATAGTTTTAATCGATAGTTTACCTGTTGCTTCAGTTCACGGTCGTCGCCATTTGTAAACAACCTGTTTTCAGTGCCGTCTGGTGAGTTTTCCTATAACTAAAAGGTCAAAGGCAGAAGGTGAACATACCCACAATTCCCGCGGAAATAGTTTGAACTCTGCGGGTCGCGCCTCATTCAACTGACTGTACACAAGACATTAGAAAAGGAGAATATTAACGATGCCGAATACTCGTTGTCATTCTGGATTAGAAAGTTTTAAAGCAACTGGATTATACAACTAGCAAGGGACTGAAAGTGTTGTTCATTTTTGGTTTGATGTCATTTGCATGGAAATAAGCACTTTTATTTCAAAGGGAATATTGTGTGTAAATTCTATTTTGGCGGACTGAATATTTATGAACGTGTGTCACTGAAGTCAACACACTATGTCAGAAATGGAGGTTACCGATGGTCATCCAGGTCCCAGAGAAAGACTGAGATGTAAGTTTGCTGTCCATTTTTACTGATTTTCTTGGCTATCTCATGTCGCACGAATGTTATGAGTGTGTATATGAAAGCTTGTGTATTGGAGCGCGCCGGTCTCTGGCACAGAAGGCAAACAGCCTGAAGTCATACCTGCCATTCAGCAGGGTAAACAAATCAATCAGCGGCCACATGTCATTGGTCACAGGTCGTTACACATGGATTAGTACAGTTATATTTATATTATGAAAGTTCAAGAGAAAAAAGTCGTGTGTAAATGCCTTATTCTTGATGTAGACATGTCATATGTAATGGTGCCTAGCCCCAACCTTTTCTTTCAAAGTAGGCTATACGTAATCTTAGTTGTACATTCAACATAACTGGATCTTAATTGAAACAGGGACGTTATATTAGTAATGACAGTAAGCTTTCTGGACAGACAAGTTTTTAATCAGATAAAATTACCGACTGAAAGCTTCCAATATATATATATACAGTGGATATAAAACACTGATACATTTGATCGTCTTTGTCCCAAAGGTCGTTAAATGCTAATTTTGTTAAAGTTGATAGACTGTAGATTTAGCAATCTGCTGCTAGACATACACCTGTGTACTAGACTAAATATAAATACAGATATGATTAGAAAGGTAAAAAGTTCCAGACACCCTGACATCCTTTCTCAGGTAAATGTTTACCTGTGTACAAGTGTTATATAACAGAGTACCTTGTTGGTCTAACTTGACAGCACTCCATACATGTAAACACAGGTGGGTAGACCTGTAAAGTTGCAAGTACATTTTGTTGTGAGTCAGTCTTGGAATAAACACATCACATCTTGTAGTATACAACAGGTAAATAGTTTCAAACAAGGAAATCACTGTGATGTCATAATCATACCATAATCACTAAACAATTTATTTCCATTTTCCCCTCCTTACCTTCTCCTTCACCACTCTTGGCCCAAATTAATGAACAGTATATTTACCAATTCAGAACTGTATGTATCAACATAGAATTTACATAGGTTACACAGATTTAAGTATGACACATACAGGTCTACTTCATGTAATGAATTCTCACCCACAGTCATGTACTTTTAAGTAAGTTTTATGCACAAATCGTGGGGGTCCATGTATACATATCTACTATGTAGTGCGTAGTTGGGAAATTCGGACTAGGTCACAGTGATTATGTTAATTTAAAAGCATGTTATAGTAAACAACTTCATGCTGTGGACTGAACTCCACATGGAATTTGAATGACATGCCATATATTACTGTGTCAGTGCGATTTACTACTGCTGGCTGTGATCATTATCTGACGGAAGCACTTGAGAATCAGGGTCCAACTGGAACAAATTAAGGTCTTATACCAAACCAGTGTCAACTTACAGCAATTCTCTGATTTCACATACTTCTCAGATATAAAACACAAGAGATCTAGAGAGCCAAGGTCAAGCTTTATAAAATGTCATTTAGATCCAAAATGTTTTGTATCAAACTTTTAGATTTCTGTATAGTCAAAATTCAATTAATTTTATATCATAATTGAAAAAAAATCAGTTTTTCAAATGAAGAGTTGTACAACTATTTCAAAACACTCACTTAATTCAGTCAGACTGTCAAGGTTACAGAAATTGGGTTAAAGTTCAAAGTGTGATTTTATGTTGTATCACCAGCAGGTGATTTAAGTGTCATTATTATCAAACATCAGATTTACCAAACAGATATCAGCAAGTCCTGTTACATGTACAAATAACTTTGTTTCCTGCTTCATACTATGACTCTTAAAATGAAGATTTGAAAGAGTAAAAACCTTGAGCGTAGATCCAGGCTGATTATATAGACCTCTTTAAATTTCTAGAAAGGCATGTTAGGTGAGGAAAATTGTCTACGTTTTATATCTGATTATTGATGTGAGATTTTCTAATCTTACATTGAAATCAGATTTTCCTAGCAGATACAATAAAATCTCAATTATCTAGGTGTTTCTCTCAGAATCTTTAAAACTTTTAGTTGTCTGATTAGAAAGATCATTTATGATTCTTTCAAATTCTACCACTGGGAGGAGCTTTTTCAATGGTTACTGCTGAAAATTCTGAAACTGAAAAGCCAGATAAAAAATAAATGTCCAGATTTAAATACCAACTGAAATCTCTAATGCTTTACTTTCTCATATTTATGTAAAAAGCAAAAAAAAAGAAGGGAATTTGGATGAAGAAAAAAATATCCTCAAGGCCTTGTTTACATCTAATACTATTATAAGGTAATATCAATAGTTTCATATATAAAGGATAGAGCCAACGCTGCTGTTGCTATCAATGGAGGACTGCAGGTTCTTTGCTTCCCGCCTGGATACCCCTAGGGTATGCAGGGGATTGATGAGAAGGGGTGAGCTTAAATAGGGATGAATCAACCCAAAAGCTGGAGACGGGTTCTTCAAAATTTTTATTCGGTAGTTGGTCTTCCGGTTTCGCCTTTATTATAGGACTTCATCAGGACAACACTACCATAAAAATTATCCCCTAAAGTACATTGTTAATTATGACGTTAACAATTAAGGCCAATAACTCTATTCACTATTACTGTCCATTGAGAAAACATAATGTTTGACGGTCAATTCCTTCACGGTTATATAGTGAAAATTATAGCAAGAATATAAACAATTAACCTAGTTCAGTAATTTTCATCTAAACACACAGTTGACTTGGATTCCGATAAGTAATTCAATTTCCGGTAATCCACAGGCTCCTCCTCCTTCGCTTCGGATGAATTGGGAGTAGAGGCTGTGCTCTCCGAATCACTTAATGCCAAGTCTTGCCTTAATAAAACCTTCGTTTCAACTAGCACTGGTCTCATTGGAGGGCCGCTGGCGTTGATCCTAGTGGCTGGCCTCGTCCTGAACTTTACACTCACCAATTGCTTTTTTGTCAGGACTTCAAACAGTCTTTTGATGTCTGGTTTGACAGCTTCCTGCTTCGCTATCCTCCTATACTGCCGGTTGACTATGTACCCTGGGTAGATATTTTTCATATGTCTCTTATAATCATTATCTCTGCCAAATGTTCGTTTGCACATTTTACACTTGTACCATGTTTTTGTCACAGATTAAGTCTTTTAATCTCGATGGATACATATAAAAGTGTTTTGAACAGGATAAAAATGAAATTACTATAGATTGACAGGTTTTATAGTTAAATGAATGAGATTGACTCGTCTTTTAAAGGGCCCTTGAACCTATCAGTTATTTTGAACTGTTACAATACAGGGCTTTTGACCTGTCAGATTTGGGACCGATATTCTGCCCCATTCCCAATGCAAACCCCAGGTTTTCCCAATTCTAAGGAAAATGCAGCTATTTTTCCCAATTCTAAGGGCAGCGGGCCCCAGTCCCAAAATGGGGTGTGAGAGCCCTGCAATATAGCTTTATTTTTATGTTTTTTTTTTGGGGGGGGGGGGGTGTTATTGGGACTGTTAAAGTCAAATTCCCCAAGTTTGCTATTTGCTTTAGAAGAATTCCTTCCCAATTCACTGCTGAAATGAGGCATTCTTAAAATTTAAAAGTTGGTGTTATTGTATGTTGAAATAATACAATTAGATAGATAATTTGAGGAAATGGTTGTAAATGACAGTATCTTGCACACAGGAAGATGTATATATACAGATCTTCATGGCTTCTGTGTGATATTGATTCAGTTGGTGGTAGGTGATTAATAGAATCTAGAAACAGGAAGTAATATAGTATGTGTATGTAGGAACTGAAGCACAAAAACAATTAGAAAATTTTGGAAATTGATTCTATATTTTTTAATCAAGTGTCATGTGATATTCTGTTACAGAAATTAGAATTAAAATATTTCAAAGTCATGAAAAAGATATGTTGTTTGAAAAAAGTAGTTAAAGCCCTGATACCAGCGACCTAGTTTTTTTTTTATCCAACATGTAACTTGTATATTTATTTTTCCTGATAAGGTTATAAAAGACATATTAAATGATATAAGGACATAAGTGTTACATGAAAATCAACAAAATAATGTCTGCTAGCGGACAAGTTTTCTAAAATTTCTTGTCACCTTTTCTGATGTAAAGAGTTTAAAACTGACATGAACACATGCTAAGGGCAATTTCAGTAAGACCTTCCACAGGTAAACTTGTCATATAGGCTGAGCAGTCAGACTTAGGCTTTAATCCAACACGTACAGAACCCTGATTAACTGGTTTTGCATTTTAAAGTAAACATGTTTTACGAACCCTTCATATTCATTACACAAAATGTGCTGCATACATACAAGTGTCAGTGTCTATCGCCTTACATAGGGAATCTTTCATATCATGCTATCTACATCTACACCTGGTTCTCAATCAGGATTGTCAGGTGATATTTATCTTCTTGATTTGACCAAGATTTACATGACTTGTTGGTGATGAAGCATAAAATGCTTACTTTCCTGGAATTCCTGGTCATTGTCACCATGTCAAGAACCTCCATGAAAATGTTTCTTTAACTTCATACATTTTTCGTTGGTGTCATTAATGTTTTGATTTTTCTTCACTAACAACTGAACATAATTATCGATGAGTATGGGGTTAAGTCTTTCTTGCCTACTCTAAAGAAAATAAAAAGCATATGAAAACTCATTGACAATTGTTAGCAACTTCAATATACTAAATTATGAGTCTTGTTGAAAAAACAAAAAGATATTGAAAAATACATTGTAAACATTGAAATTTGATATGTATCGTGATTGAACTTTTCACCTCTTTCTCAGGTTCTATCGTATACATAGTTATGTCCCATTGCTGAACTTGAACTATGAATAAGGTATATTTTGTTCTTTAGTTTCACATTGTGAAGTTGATCATGAAAAGTTTGATCTTGTATCCCTCCCTACAGACATAAGGTCATGGCCTTTTTGTCCTCATGTGATTCCTGGGGACCAGTTATTGTTGCTGTGTCCAGTTTAATTTCAGCTGTCAATCACTGTTTCCCTATCGATGTTTCAGGTTTCTGACTATGTATGGTATATTGTCTTAACATCAATGTTCTGAAGTTCAATTGTGAATGCATATTTATTTCAAAATCCAGATGTGTTAACATGATGAACTTTGATTTAGTGGTTTTGAATAAAAAAAGATTTTTGAGACCCTTTCTTATCTGTGTTTCGATAGGATATGTATACATTGTAAAGCAATTAGAATATAAGAGTTTGTGATATTTCAAATATCTGAGTTGATAACTGTAATCTTGGGCCAGACTTGGTGATGTAATGAAATACTTGTCTCGCTGGGCTGGAGACTTTCTACCTAACAATATATGGAAATAAATTGATCATAGTTGTTCAGGTGTGCTGCTAGATAACATCGCTCTACTGGGATGTTAATTTCTAAGCCCTGTGTCACAGATATTTATAGAAAGTCTGGAGCCTTAAATGCAGTACTTGGTTGAAATGTTTTCGGAAGTTTGATATTATGGGGCACTGTAAATTTGGACAGAAAGTGCTGCTTAATGATAGCAATCTGAGGCAAGTTCACCTTTTCATCCAGACAGACATACTGTGATTCTGTAATATCTACCTTATTTTCTGGTTTATAAACTGTGGCTTTTTTTCCTTGGCTTCAATACCAATGCAGCTTACATGTGGATGAAAAAAAAAACCTGACAGAATAAATAAAAAACATTTAAATGAAGTGTATCGTCTGGACAAAGATTCTGGACAGTAATGTATTTCGGAATGGTCATTTTGTTGAGGTGTGTTACTCGTACTATTGACCTCATGACCTCCTACCCTGATATTTTTGGTTGCTGTGACCTGGCGCTTCCAGAAAAAGTACAGAATAGTAATTTAAACCAAGGATACGAGTACACCAGTACAAGATGTCAGTACCAAGTACCTGTCCATTTTGTTTGTGACAAACAGATCGTCTAGAACCGTCATTTGCAACCATATTCAGTATGATTTTAAGATTGAAATAAAAAGAAAAGAAAAAACATCTTGTTTTTAATTAATCTAGCCTTTTAATATGAATCACAATAATATCTTCTGAACTTTAGTGTTTGCTTCGGAAGTCATAGCAGAAGTTTATAATAGTCTGCATCCTGGTATCAATAGGTCATCAGGTCAAATTCTAGAATTTCTGCCATGCTTGGTTACGATAAGAATGGCTTCGTGTAACTTGCAATTAGTAATATGGAACTATAAGAATTTTGTCAGCATGCAGGAGCCTTCGCTAATGTTTAATAGTACAGACACCGATAGAGATATTGTTGAGTAAATCGTATGTGGCGTCAGGCCATATATCTGTGTGTTGCAATCTTTGAAGGCTCCCAAGCCAAAACAAGTTCAATAATTTTTATTTTTCAATTTTGAAACATATCAGTGATATAAAGGATTGTCGGTGTATAATTCATTTGCAAACTTTGAAATGTTCCACTGAGGATCTTGATAAATTGCCCTTTGTTGTCTGTTATATCAACAACTTTTGGTCAACATGACAGTAATGACTTATTTTGTGCTTCCTCAAAGAGTGATTCACAATTATAAATTGTGGAAATCTAAAATCTAAAAATAGATATTCTGTATATCACCATTTCATTCGGTTTCAAACGGTGATCGGTTTCAAGGAAGATTGGTTTTTGGAAGTTGCTCTGTAGAATGTTATCCCCTCTGAATATAAACTGATTCCCCGTCAAGAAAATATACTGAAAACATGGGGAAATTTCCCCTAAATTGGGAATAGTTCCTCCAAACAGAGCTAATTCATATATTTTCATTAAAAACATGCTAGCTGCATTTCTCTAAATAGGCCAATAATTCACCTTTTTCTACAATGGGTGTTATTCCATATCTTCTAGACAACCTTAGCTATATAGTGGATGTTTTATTCCAAATTGAGGCTAAAGGGCCATTTTTAGCCCACCATCATTAGATAGATACTAGTCTGATATCTGGTGCCCTAATAAGCAGTCTCATGTCTTTTCACGTAGGGATTGGGCATTTTTTCTTTGTTTTTTGTGTTATTGCCACTTTGAACAACTGTTGTCATTTTGAGGTGATGTCTCCAAATAGTAAATGACGACTACCTTTGTGAACATCATGCAAGAGGTTTACCATAGTAAGCGAGTCTCAACCATGGATACCTTCAGAACAGTGCAGGACTGTCTGTGGTATCAGCTTCCTGTGAAACTCAAAACAACCTCGGAGCTCATAGCTCAGATCTTCTAATATGTTTGTGCTATCACAGCCCCCTTGGTTAACATCTAACTTAAACCATCTTGGTGATATTTGTGAGATCTAAAGTCACACACAACCACAGTATGTAATGTTGCCTCTTTTAGGAATATGCTTGCTTTTGATTTCTTCTCAAGTAAAAGGTCGAAGGTCAAGGTCTCTGATAGTATCAAGAGCATTTGGAGTAACAGTTCCTTGACTTAATCGCTTGTTCTTCATCAATTAGTACAATTCGAAAAAGAAAATTCAAAGTTGTGTATTTTGAGTAAATTTGTGTTTTTATTCACAACACAGCGGATGGCGGGAGACTTACTGCAGAGGAGATGGACACAAAGAGAAAACAGAACATTGCTTATGAGTACCTGTGTCACTTGGAGGAGGCCAAAGTGTGAGTATTGTCTCAATGTGGTGTGTGTGTGTGCGTGCGTGCGTGCGTGCGTGCGTGTGTGTGTATATGGAAACTAGAAACATTTTGTTTTAACTTCAGAAATAGGGGCCACATCACTGAAACTCCAGAATTGATTATATAATGGACTGATTTTGTGTTTATTTTTATTTGTAGAAAGTAAATGCCTCTCTTTTTCAGTAATATTTAATTTGTCATTACACTGACCTGAAATACCTCACTTACCTAGAATTTACAGTGGCTGTTGACTTGTTTATATGTGTAATATGAAATTTTGTTTCACTTGAACACCAGAAAATATTAAAGTATTGATGATTGATTACAAAAAATTGTATACACATTTGTTAGGATTAAACAATTAGTTTAGCGAATATTTAGGATGTGTCCTACCACTTCATTTGATGCTTATAGGTGGACAAACATCTTTGTTTAGATGCTGCAGTAAAGATGGCGTTACTGTCTTACACAGCTGGCTCCATTGATTTATCTGTAGACAATTAATACTACTGTGTACTTATGGTCCTTCTCATCTGGATTAAGCCGTCGTCAATAATTAATCATTACTGTTGGCGGTGTGTAGGTAGATATATATTTCCAGGTCTATGTACCACAGGTGTGTAGGTAAATAATGGAATGAGGTTATACAGGTATATAGCAGATCTTGCATGACTTCAAGTTACTTACGAGGGGATTTCCCTGTCAGAATATTCAGGTCACAGCAACAATTCACTGACATCATGTTGAGAAGTCCTAGCATTAGATAATGATTTAACATTAGTAAAAATACAAAAAAATAATATAATCATTCACCCTCTTGAGAGTGAATCAAAATTATCTAAACCCTTGGGGAAAAATTATGATGATGGCAATAACTTGTCAACCATTGTGTTTGCATCCTTGATAATCTTTTCCGCAGAATTGAGATCATTCTTAATTAGGGCCCTGCATTGAGATGAGGGTGCCCTATAGTAATCTGACTGTCTGTCTGTCTGTCTGTCCGTTTTTGGGTTTCTGTACATTATTATCTCAAATTCTGTTGGGCCAATGATACTCATATTTTATGCCAAGGCTCCATGAAGGAAGTGCTTGCTTGGGTTATCTAGCTTTTCATCTCCCAAGGTCAAGGTCACTGTTCCTATAAACAGAAAATCAGTTAATGCACAATATCTTGAGTTGTATTGGGCCACATGCTCTCAGACTTTATCCAGTGTTACCTCGAAGGAAGTGCTGGCTTGATTTATTTTTGCATATTCTGAGGTCAAAGGTCAAGGTTACTGTTGCTATAAATAGAAAATCATTTATTTCAACCAACGTTTGGTTTTTTTGTTTCTATGTTATAACTTGAGTTTATTTGGCCCGATCCAGCTCAAACTTAATATACTGCTTCCTTATTGGAAGTGCATGGATGGGTCTGCTTTTCAGCTTTAAAGGTGAAGGTCACTAGAATTTGCTTTGGCCAGTTTAACCGAAACTTCATACAATACTTCCTTAATGAAAGTGTTTGCTGAAGGTTGCTTTACAGTTTTGATGGTAAAAACTCAAGTTCACTCATACTATAAACATAAATTTCCCTGCAATAACACATCAGTGGACTAAGACTACAGGCAAACTTTCTGGTCTCAGCAAGACTTTAAAACGTATCACGATTTTTCTTTAATGCGGTCTTGTAAATTAGACAGAAACACCTCAACATTGTGTACTTTCTCATTCACTCCCTCTACTCTACTGAGGAGACTCTTTAATAGACAAAACAGCAAGTCAAACAATGAATCTCAAAATAACTATGTACTGGATTGACCTTATTCAGTGATCACTGACACGATTAACATATATATATATTATATATTATAATCAAATCAGATATCTCTTAAAAGTAGGTCTCAAATGAAATACCACTTATAGTTCTTCTCATGTACCAAGAATTAAGGTCAAACCAATTAAAGAAAACTTATTTAATTGATTTATGATAATTATTTTAAAAGGGTCTCGGTAGAACAGTTCACTTTATAGATCAAAGAAAGGCCTGATGAGCTTTATGAGTTCAAAGGTCATCTTTTTAAGGTTCATTATGCTGTTGTGACATGAACACATATAGTAAGACCCTGGCAGTCATGTTAAATAAAAGGTGATATATAATGTATCAGAAATTTATCGTTGGATAAAAAAAGCCTTGTATTTATATTAATTAAATTAGATTTTTAAATTTTTTTTTTATGGAAATCGCACGTACTGCGAAATTTATCCAGTGACAAGCTCATCAGTGAAAAGAAAAAGTATTTGATTCCCAACTGACCCAATTTTTTGTGCCTACTTTTTCAGATAACTTTTTAAGTTGGGCTGTTATAATACATGTTAATTTCCATAAGATGCACATTATGAAACCTACTCTTCCATTTGATTATTTCAAATATACACTGAACATTAGTAATGATTAATTCTGACCTTAAAAATAAACATAAAATGTGAGCTGTAATACATTAATGTATGAGGACATGAAGCTAGTGTGAAGTTAAATATTTACTTACTAGTAGCAAACAAAATTAATATAAGTCTGTCTCGCTTGCTGTGGAGGAAAGAAGATAAAAACATAACAGGACTGTTATCTCTTTTAAGTGATTTTGAATAGCAAAGAGAGATTGGAGATTCACAATGTTTCACCCCTTCCTTTCAAGAAGCACTTTAAACTCATATTTACCTATCCAAATTTTTTTGCAAATACGAATCAGGAAACATGCATTTTTTTTTATTTCTTTGAGATGGCTAATTTAAATGGAAAATGTTTAATTTGTTGAATCTTAGTCTGGAGATGGAGTAATCAACATGTGATGACTAAATGATCTGAAAGTCTCTAGTATTGTAACTCTATATTATTTTATTCTTGAGTAAAATACTTCCGAATATATTGGATAGAGCCAGTGTGTATAGTGGATAAATTATATGTAAAGTATTTCCCCTGAAGAGCAGCATTAAACAAAGCAAGGACTTGGAAATCAGTCTTCTTAGTTCAGTTGGAATAAGATCTTATTCTGAATAGTTAGATTTATAGTTTGTTGACTTAACTTGTTGTTTTTAAGTTTCTCGCAGATAAAAAATTCTTATGAGCAAAAAAGAAAGTAAACAGTGTCAAATAGTTTAAACACAAGATTTTTTTCACTCATCTACATTTATCATCTAAGAAAGTACTCTTTCGAAACTCTTGGTCTTATTAGGTCACCTGAGACAAAATCTCATGGTGATCTATTCTAATACCCTTCATCGGGCGTTGTGCGTCTGTAAACAATTTAACACTTTCTACTTCTTCTCAAAAACCCCTGATCCGAATTCAATGAAATTTTGCAGAAATCTTTACTAGCCTAACATGAACTAAGCCTGTGTATTATAAGGTCCCCATCACCCAGGGGCCTGAGGGGGCGGGGCCAAAAGTTGTCAAATTGACTAGGATTTCAAAAATCTTCTTCTCTAGACCCAGATATGGTAGAATCAAATACGCTTCATGAATGAAAGCATTTAGAGGTGCTTTACCAAAATTGTGAATTTAATGGCCCTAAATTCATGTTTCTGCGTGGGGAGGGGGTAAAGTTACTATAGTTTATATATGAAAACTAGATTTTTTAATATATTTCAAACTTGGTTAGAATTAAGAGTGACCTCAAAACCCAGATATTGTAGAATCAAATACTCTTCATAAATGGAAGCATCTTAAGGTGCTCAAATTACCAAAATGAGTCTCACATTTCTTCCTGGGGAGGAATATTTTTTTAGACTTTACTGTAATTTTCATAGTAAAATTGCATTTTTGAGTATAACATTAGTTATATCCTACTGGAAATTTTATGATTTTTTTTCCTACGGGAAATAATTTCATAAGAATTATCAGTATAGGATGACGGTTTTGATGGTATCCATGTATTGACAATGGCTTACTATATTCACTGTCACAATTTCTGTTTCATGACACTTCCATGTCAAGCTCTCTTTTTATACATGTGTGTGTGTGAGTTTTATTGAATTTGAGTTTAGATTATGACTATGTTGACATATTGATGAGTTCTTGTTGTTTTTTATAGCCTTCAGCTGCAAAATGCAAAATGGAGTCATGTTTTGAACTTCGAACAGTCTCACTGTTGATTATTGTTGAACGTTAATGATGTTCTTGTAAATTTTTGTCTTATCATGATAAAATGGGCAGGTCACATTGAAAATTTGACAAAGAATTTTGTCTGTGCTTTCTTTACTAGTCCTTTACATTCTAGTAATACTTATTCAGCAAATCTCAGTTTGAGGTCCATTTCTCATACCAGGCTTTATGGTGGCTACACTGGTGAGATATATAAAGGTACACAAGTTAACAATTTTACCTTAGTGTTAATAGGTAAGTAGATGGGTCAGTGCATCTCTCTGTAATGGAGTAACAGTTTATGGGTCTGCTCTTATCCACCATCTCGTGTCTACAGCAATTAAAAAGTCATTAGTACACACCTGGGCCTTTTACACCTGACCCTACCTACACAGGTGAGATAAGTGAGGGACAAAAAAAATCCATTGTAGTTTGTCGTCTAGTAGTTTTACACGATGATAGCCATTGGTCAGCTGACAGATTGTGTTGAACGGATTTTTCAATGGTCAGTGGTCTTGGATGGGACCATATAGTTTTATTTTGTAATATTATGAAGAAATGTTGATCTTGTGTTTTCTTGATTCACAATGTAGTACTGATCATGGCTGACTTGGCAGTGTGGTGAAGACTGATAGCATGAGGATACTATTAAACCAGAGTTTCAAGGGTTCTACCTTTGCTTCAATGTGTACAGTCACACCACATACATTTATGTGACTGCTTAGTTTACTACTTGATGTAAAACTGAATTAATTGATTTCAGTTTTAGCTCACTGTCTCTTAACAGTTACAAGTAACTCAGCTTATGCTGCCAAGGCTCTCAATCTGCCAGATTTGGGGCCGAATATGCAAAATGGTATTTTTT